TTTCATTTTTTTTCTTCAAAGAGCAGGGGCTGTTTTGTAACGTTTAACTTTGAATCCGTGGCTCGAGATTTTATGCGGCGGCCCGGCCCCCCCCTCTATTCAATAACGTTTCCCAAGCCTTCTGGAATGACCCCAAATCTCCCGATTACAGTTTTTTCCCCTTATTCGTCGTTACTGTCCCCCACTTAGCGCCATTTCCTTGTCTTTCCCACTTTCTCACCCCCCCCCCCCCCCCCCCCCCCTCCCCCCCCCCCCCCCCCCCCCCCCCCCCCCCCCCCCCACCCACTCAGTGTTATCTAAGGTACGCGCATGTATGTTCCCTCTCTTAGTTTGAAAGCACCCCTTTATCTTCGGTGTGTAAAGTCAGTGCGGGCCGGATTTGTGTGTATTACGGGCCGGACTTTGTTGCGTGAAAAGTAACCCTTCATCAGAAATTTTGGAAACACAAAATCGGTCCCTCCGACCCCGGAGTGGGAGTGAGGTGGGGGGGGGGGGTATCTTCTTCTTTTGTTCTTTCTCTCTCTCTCTCTCTCTTCTCTCTCTTCTTTCTTTTCTCTTCTCTTTTCTTTTCTCTTCTCCTTTCTTTTCTCTTCTCCTTTTTTTCTTCTCTTCTCCTTTCTTTTTTTTTTCTTTTTTTTTTTGCACCGCCAATAGGGGGGGCGCGCGGCCGTTTCGGCCCCCCCTGGATCCGCCACTGCTTGAACTAATGTATATCTACCATTACTCTTAAGATCGCTCTCCCCCCCCCCCCCCCCCCCTCCTCTCTCTCTCTCTCTCTCTCTTTTTCTCTCACTCTCTCTATCTGCCTATTTAACGCCGTATTATGATAACGGCTTTGCTGCTTTTAACAGCATGCCTATGAGTAGCATGCACGCTGAAACTCGTTTTACATCTTAAATAGATAACAGCATTAGTTATCAACATTTTTTACAAGCCTTGCTGGCCTGCGAATGTGTATGTGTAATATACGTATGTGCACAGCTTATTAGACTCTCTCTCTCTCCTCTATCTATCTCTCTCTTCCTTGACTCACACCAAGCCCTTCTCTCCCTCTCTCTCTTTCTCTTTCTCTTTCTCTGTCTCTCTATCTTTCTCTGTCTCTCTCTCTGCGTCTATCTCTCTCTTCCTTGACTCACACCACGCCCTTCTCTCATCTTTCTCTCTTTTTCGATCACTTATTATCTGTTTGTATTTCTGCAAAGGTTTCGCGAACAAAGACAGCATTATGTTTTACCAATCTTCTTGCAATGATTATAGCATGCATTAGGCTATATCATCGTGGGAATAAACTGCTATAGTTATCACAATAAAGTATGAATGTTAAAATAAAATTTCAAATAAAACGATGATCAAAGAATATTATCAATTTTGAGGCAACAAGAAAATATAAAGAGGGATGTTAACAAGTTTAAAATAACGGGTAGAATTATTAAGTTAAAAGCGACGTGAAAATAACAGAAAGAAAAAGAAATAGAGATAGAAGAGAATGTGATCAAGAAGCTAATAATTTACAAAAAATTGCCCATTTACTCTGGGCTTTCAACTCGGCTGTGTATTCTACAAACGTTAAGGCCAAAATTGATATGATTTTATTTAACCTCGAATAAATAACTTTTACAACATTGTTCAAAACGCAATATGCAAAGTTTCGGTTTGCTCGGCAGTGAACCGATTGCCCCTTTTATTCACTCGCAGCAACTCCCTCTCACCCTCTCTCCTTTCCATTCATACTTTCTGTATAATCTGCTCAATCTTTATCTAAATTACACTATCTCTTCTTTTTAACTACCTCTTCATATTTCTCCCCCCCGATTGATTGATTATATGGACATTTAAAACATTAATCATAAAAGAGAGAATACAGAACTCGAAATGGATGACCCGGCTCTATCTTTCTTGATTCTCTCTCTCTCTCTCTCTATTTTTCATTTCATTTCATTTCATTTATTTTCCACATTAAAAACCAGAAAAATATACAAGGTAAAAGATTACATTATACACATTTGACACATAGAGCAAAAGAAAACAGATACATAAGCATAAAAGAACAATGAAAATCTACATCAGTTAACAAAAACATCAACATTAAAACATAAAAAGGTGAGTAATGTAGATGGGGCTAGAAAAAGCGAAGCTTGTCGAGTCTAGCCCCGGTAGCAATGAAGGGGAAGTCCACCCTGAGAATGTGTGTGGCCAAGTAAAGGCGGAGTAACCCATCCTCAGGGTGGACTCTCCCTTCAAATGTCTGGTTTTATAATTAGATTAAATTGACCCGATGATAACATAATTGCGATTTGAAACATAATAATAATTGTTTTTAAATTGATTTGACTATTTAGAATTGCAGAGATATTGTTTATATTTATACTTAAATTGTCGTAATGATGCAGATTGTTTGAGACTGTTATCTAAAGTAGACCATGTAAGGTAACCCTGATACTTAACACTTCTTTGGCCAGTAGCAGTTCTGTAATAAATGCTATGCAAATTCTTGGAGTTTCGAGTGTTATAACAATGTACATCACTGTTGCATCTAAACCAGTTTTGAAGTGAGTTTGGTAATAGTCCCTTTTCAGACTTGTACATAAATTCTCCCAGTTGTAACCTACCTAATTCATATACAGTCAAAACCCTAAATTGTTGGTGTGGGCCAAATAATGAGACTTGGCAACTATGCGTATTAACACGTTTTTGCAACAAATGTAAACGATTTAACAATTTATTTGATGCATTTATCCATAGCATATTACCATATTGTAAATGAGGGAGAATTAATGAATTGTATAGCAAAAGCAGTACCTTTGACGGTAATACAAAATTTCAGTTTTGACATAACTCCAGTAATTCTCGAGATCTTTAATGCAATATCATTAATATGTAAAGACCATGATAACTTGTCATCAATATTAACTCCCCAAAAAGCGGGCACTATGTACTTGCTTTAAGGGCTCCACTGAATCAACAAACTTAAGAGTAAGTAAGTTCTTATCATATTGTTTATTCAATGGTGCAAAATGCATAAAAAAAAATTCTCAATGTTTATCCTTAACCCATTCACTTTGTACCAAATATTAACCTTTTGTATTTCTTTATTCATATTATGGACAAGAGTATCTAGTTTCTTCTCGCTTAAAGAGACATTGGTGTTCGTCTGCAAAAATAATGTATGACAAAGTTGAGGAAACATTCGGCAAATCATTTATATATAGAATAAACAACAGTGGCCCAATTATTGACCCTTGGGGCACTCCGCATATAACTTCTTTTTCAAATGAAGTTGCATTATCATAAACAACATATTGTTTTCTTTCCTTCAAATAATCCTTTATCCACTGTAATGGCAAACCTCTCACACCATAGTACTCCAATTTGGATAATAAGGCTTGATGATTAATGGAATCAAAAGCTTTTGAGATATCCAATGACAAACAGAGTGAATGTTTGCTATTATCAAGGGAAGTAAGTTGGTCCAAAAAAATAAGTCAAGGCCAATATAGTTGAATGACCAGATCTGAAGCCATATTGAAAATTCGACAAAATCTCTCGTTTCTCCATGTAAGACAATAATCGAGAGTAAAATAATTTTTCCAAGATTTTGCAGAAAACGGGCAAGAGTGACACCGGTCTATAATTACAAAACTGCTCGAGGGAGCCTTTCTTATAGATCGGAGTCACCCTCGCCAGCTTCATACTGTGAGGGAATTTACCAGTGGAGAGGGAAAGGTTAAAAATATGTACCAGTGGAGCAAGAATGAAATAGATTGATTCTTTAATGACAGAAACAGTTATATTATCATGACCAGGACTTTTACCTATTTTCAATGCCTTCACTATATCTATAATTTCATGACCTTCTATTGGTTTCAGAAACATTGACTGTTGATATTGACCATTCATGTAAGATCTACACTTCAGCATGTCAATATTACTTGTATCTGTGAACATTGTCCCAATGCCTATGAAATATTCATTGAATTTGTTTGCAATATCAACAGGATCTGTAAGTTTCTTATTATTTTCATCACGAAAACAGTCTTGGTTCTTTCTTTTGATTCCCCTATTCAACATATTGTTAATAATATTCCAAGTTCGTTTACTACAATTACTTTCTTCAAACTGCTTTGCATAGTAAGATTCTTTTGACCTTCGAATAATTGAAGTTAAAGTATTTCGATACTGTCGGTATACTTTTTTCCTGTATGCAGAAGGGTTCTTCAAATACTTTTTGTATAGCTCTATCTTTTTCTTACATGATTTCAATATTGCTATTGTAATCCATGGTTTAGATTCCCTTTTTCGGCAACGCCTTTCTTTCAAAGGAAAACAAGAATTCTGTATGATATTAAATTCACTGAGAAATACTTCATAAGCTCTGTCACATGATTCTTCATGCATCACATATTCCCAAGAGTGTTCAGTCAGGGCAACCCTAAATTTTTCAAAGTTTGAGCGAGACATGTCTCTTGTATAAGTTTTATTGCATTGATCGCGCTTAAGCCAATCACTACGTTTTGACCGATTGAAAACAAAAATTGGAAGGTGGTCTGAAATGTCTGCCAGTAAAATACCGCTTTTTAACACTAGACTTGTGTCATTGACAAAAATATTGTCAATAAGAGTTGAACTTGACTGAACTATTCTTGTTGCCTTTGAGAGGGGCATAAGAGTGAGAAAAAACCATTTCCAAAAAAGAGTTGACATGTTGGTCAGAGTGTAGATCCAGTAAGTTTAGATTGAAATCACCTAAAAAGTAGCATGTTATTATTTTCGCGACCAACTTTCTCTAGAATATTGTTAAGATCTGATATAAAGTCAACACAGCTCTGAGAAGGAGGTCTATAAATTACTGCAATTATCAAGTTTTTACTATTACTGTGAGCTACCTCGATGAAGTAAGATTTAATATTTTCATTAAATACAGATAGATCAGTTCTATCTCTTCTGCTCTCCGGCAGTCTCTCAATCATTCTCTTAATCATTTTATTTTAAATCGCGTAAAATTTTAAATTTCAGAATAACATTTTAATTGATAAAAAACACAAAGAATATACAGTTGCATATATGATAATGTACACATAATATTCATAACCCAAACTTATCCAAATTATTATGTAAAGCCTTGATAAGAGGCATCTTGAGATAGGAATAGGTAAATAAATGTCGACATAAGAAATAGTAGGCCTATCAAGGAAGAGAAAGATATGTACAGCGAATGAGCGAAACACAGATATAGAGAGAGAGAGGGGGGGGGCGAGGGAGAAGTGAAGCACAATACATGTATTCATATATGAATATAAAGCATAATTTAAATATTACTAAAATATTTTTTTAAATGTTCAATACTTTCGTTAAAAGTATCGCAAAGTAAAAAAGGAAAAACTGTAAAAGGTGGGTTACGTGTTCTAAGAGTCTCTTATCATGTTTTCTTTCTTATAGGCATCATCATATTTGAGTACCTTGATCATCTCACTTCGGGCAATGATAAAATATTAGTTCCATAGAGCATTATTTTTTACAAGTTTGTGTAAATAAATTGGCTGTGATACTAAAAAGTGCTTTGCATAATAAAAATGTTCACGTGTAAAATATCATAATTGTATAAACTGAAAGTGCGGTATGTTTCAAGGCTGAACGACCGCATGATTGTGGATCTTACACGAATCGTCAAATTCTTTTATTGTATATTGTATAATAAAAACATCAATTCACTTGTGTATATGCATCCGTGTCGATTCAAGATTCAAGTTTCATTGTCCATTTATAATAATACAGAAATATGTTTCCCATTGGTGTTAATGTCAAATATAATAAAACATAGGCATAACATAATAATGTATACTGAGCAAGCTCTCATCATACAGTATATTATTCAGAGTCACATTATGAATGCATTCATACATAACAAGCAACCTGATATAAATTACAAAACCAATATCGCAAGTTCCTCTGATCGAAAAAAGGGAGAATAGCTAGAGAGAGTGAGAGAAAGAAAGAGGAAAAAAGAGGGACAAAGGGCAGACTCAAAGAATTTCATTTAAGAAAAAATGGCGAAATACATAGCAAAATACGGTCGAATTTCAACAGTAAAGTAGAACAAAAGACGTTACACTACCAGAAAAAGGTGTAACCAGATTGGTTCAACAAAATTAAAAAAATTATGTATTGTTTACAAATGAGAGCTCCTTGTTGTTTGTGCATTGTATATGTGAATGTGAATTAATCAAGTTCTCATTTTGTTCTTCGAGTTCTTGGTACGCACAAACATATTCCAGACCGGTTAAATGTGAAAAAAAAGACAATATGACTGGTGTGTTATGTCCTTCATGACAGAAGTTACTTTAGCCAGTATGAAATTTTCATAATATGGGGGCGGGGACAACTCAGTGGCTATCAAACGCTGTGCAATCTTTCAAGAACGTTATATTCTTGTTTTGTCTGCTTGAATTAGCTTACCATAAACATAAATAACATTAAATAAAGGAACATTTTGAATGACCTGGTAGAAAAGATTCAAGACCATCCTGAGAAAAATACATCCGTCGAATTGCTTTACCGTGTACAATATTTTAACTTATTCTTTACCTTGTAACTCTTACCCTCACACACGCCCTTCTGTAATATAGTTCACAAAAGAAAAAAATTACATTTTATAATACATTCACAAAGTACTGATGCACATGAATTCGTGATAATCAAATTTTATCGACTTTCCTCTCATTTTTGTCTTGAATTCTCATCTTATCCCTTTCACATTTGTACACCACATAATGAACTTTACAAGCGTCATGGCAATGCATAACATTATACACTTCATCTTTTGACTCTTTTAACAATGATACGAATGAGAACAAATTAAGTCACTAAAACTACGTTTCGTTGCAGTGCTATAGATGCTGTCTGGTATATTAGAAACAAGTCATCATCCATGTCATCCAATGAGATGTTCATAGGCAGGTGGTGGTGCACTCGGAGCTACCTCGTGTCCACTGCTCGTATCCATCGGGGGTGCGCTCGGCATGCCGCCTCCTGTATGAGGAGGTAAGGGGTGACCAGGGTCTCCTTTGGTTGGATACGGCTGTTCCTGTGGGGGGTAAGGTGCAGCTGGTTGCGGGGGATAAGGTGCAGCTGGTTGCGGGGGGTATTGATTGGGTGGAGGATAAGCACCTGCTTGTTGAGGAGCCTGTCCAACAGGGTATGGATAGGGCTGTGAAGGGTATGGGGCACTACCAGCTGCAGCAGGTGGAGGAACTTGCCCAGAGGGGTACGGATAGGGCTGTGGAGGGTATGGGGTACTACCACCTACAGGTGCAGGTGGAGGCATGGCTTGACCAGTGGGAGGGTACTGAGTACTGGGTGGAGCGACAGTCCCAGCTGGATACCCTGGAGTAGATCCATGGTAGTATACTGGTGGTGCTGTATTCCCGCCTGGTGTCATTGATACCTGCTGACCTCCACCAACCGGCTGAGGAGCTGGATTCTGTACCACTGCTGTATATTGTTTCTTTGCTTTCTTCTTTTTGCAGCAGTAACAACAACAGCTAATAAGCAGAACTATAATACCGACTACGACAAGACAACTTACTACGGCTCCAACAACGGATCCTTCACTCACAACTGCACATCCATCTGTAATAAATATTGAAATAAGTCAGATTAAGTCTTCATGTCACGCATTTTGACAAAACTGTGTGATTTGCACATGGTTGAGCTATATACTAGAATCAACACTACACTGTCTTTTCTTTAAAGGTATATTTTTAAAAAGCACACAGCTAAATGGGTTTACTCATTGAATTTGTATTTGTATTCGTTAGAAACTTCAATCACATGGTACATGAATATTTTGTTTTAAAATACATAGGCATAATACTTATTACAAATATGGAAAAAATATTTGAAAGTACATGGAAACTACATGTAAATGTAAATAATTGTACATAACTTCAAAAAAGATAGAATTTGATATTCGATTGATATCATTCTGTCATTGTGAGTTGGAAGGAATTTTTTTAAACATCACTTTATTGTTCAAACTTGCACAACAAAGGAGAAGATACAATAACCCAGGACAATTCCATTTTACTGGAAAATGTAGGGCATTAAAAGTACATACAGTGCATAATGTTGTAGAACATCAACAAAACAAAAATTAACTAATTTTACAACATAGTGAAGACTGAGGAGTTATGGATATTTCTAGCTATAGATGAAATAAGAGGAGCTAAATATTGAAATTTCATTTGATATATCAACTTAATAAATATGAAGCATACATAATGAGTATTACAAGAGTTTCAGTCGAGTTTTCCCTCGATATTTTCAAATTACACAACTTTCACTGGTTCGTCCTCCTATGACCTATGAAAGCCACAAAATCAAATTTACATGTACTACTAGTATTGCTTATAATTTGTATTACACAGGTAAAGATATGTTTGCAAATGTTAATAGAAAAAAGAAATAATAATATAGTATACATTTTCAATATGTTAATATATATACTCCTATTTACTTCAGTATTGAATTCAGTGAATAGCACTACATTTATTTATTTATAAATTTATTTATACATTGATCAATTAATTTACTAATTTATTTATTCGGTTTTCTATGCGTAGGATAATTCCAATCGACCCAACAATATAAATGTTGATGGTCTGCTGACCAAGGAAGCCCTACAGCATAAACAAAGACATGAATCATATAAAGCTAAGGCAATGTGCGGGGAAAAGTCGTGCTCAGTTATAATTAGTGTTGTTGTTTTAATCATCACTAATAAACATAAATATTGACTTGATTTGAAGATAAAACTGAACGTTTTATCATGGAGCCTCTTCTGGTACATAAAGCCCTAGAATTTAATTTCCAAGTGAATAACGCAATTACATATTTCTTTTCCACAACTCTCAATACCGTTATTTTTGTCCAGATATTTGAAACAAGTATACATCTAATCACAAAATTAAAAATTGTGATTTGTGAATATATAATAATTACCTGTTTCGGATGGACAACAGATCCCTACGTCCTGTGTGTGGCCACAAAAGAGCTCATCATAGTTGTCAGAATCGAGAGACCGATAGAAAGTAGGACACGACTCAATCCGCTCCTCATCACCATTGCAGTTGGCAATATAAGGTCCATCGCCTCCGTAACTCCCCTGGCCAAAGTAAGCATCAGGGTGGACCAATACATCAGATGAATTGAGAAGACCAAGTTGACGACATGCTACGGTTGCTTCAGTCACGCCGAAACCAACGCTGCAGATGGATTCCCAGCTGTTTCCCTGGTAGATTTCCAGGCGCCCACTTAGTTGGTTTGAGCCATTTACTAATCTAAGTTCACCAGTTTGAATATATTCTGAGTAGAAGAGAGAGATACAATGTTATTCCAATTACGACTAGTTAACAATTGTATAAATTAACGATACCTCCATAGGGGCACAAAGGGTGAATTTCTACATTTTGTAATTTTGTCCTCTTTCTGAAAATAAATCAACAGGTAGAGCTTCAGTAAGATGTAACAGAGGATCAGGTTATCATTTAATTTGATCGCAGCTAGGACCCTCATAAATGAAAGCTGATGAGATTACCCTTGAAAAACGAGACATATCATCATCGTCATCATCATTATTATCATAATTATTAATGTTGTTGTTGGTGTTGTTATGGTGGTGGTGATGTTCTTGTTGTTGTAGTGTTGTTGTAGTTGTGGTAATGGTGGTGGTGGTGGTGGTGGTGTTGTGGTTGCGTTGCTGTTGTTATTGTTTTTGTTTTTGTTATGGTGTTGTTGGTGTAGATAATTTTGTTGTTATAATCTTTACTATTCACGCAATGCTTTTTAATATATTGATCTTTATAAGATGATGACGTGGATCCTAATCAGATGATTGGTTGAGAGCTATTACGTGACCATGCATTTATTTTGCCTAACACGTAATTTGGATAATGACCGGGCATAGGTAAAGTCATGATAAACATCATTTTTTAAAACAAATAAAACATAATCTTATATAAACAAACAATACAAGTAATTTTGTTCGGGCATTAGTAAAAATTACTAATGCCCTCATGTACTGCTGTGTATTATTTGTATTCTAATGATTCTTACCTCCTCTGCAATGGACACCAATATCTTTGTCATGCGGGTAAGATATTGGGAAACTCCACTCGAATTGCCGGCAGTCTGTAAGCCGTGCCTCGTCACCGTCGCAGAATAGAGTCGTAGCCAAGACCCCCATGTTATCAAGAGGTGGGACCGTAGAAACATCATTGACTTCTATAGCTTGCGTGAAGGGTAAGCCAAGCTGTCGACATACCACCTGGGAGATATCGTAGATGACCCACTGATCAGATATTGTGTTCCACCGAGAGTCATAGTAGATCTCGACCCACCCTTTGGTGGTGTTGCCGTTGGAGAGCCGTAAATCTCCATCGACTGGGTTAAGAAGACACGTGTTTAAAAGTGAGAAAAATATATCCCCAATTTATTCCTATAGACGATGAAAGTATATATTCATGGGTCTACTAATTCAGTTAAATGCAACTCTGAGTCAAAGGTCATGTTTACACCCGATTTTGAACTTAAGCTTAGTCTTAATCTTGGTTTTAAAAAAATGGCCATCGTGTGTTAAAATAATAATGAATCTATCCCTTCGAACGAACACAAGCACAAGAGGCGAGGTTGGAAATATAATAAACCGAGGTAAAATGTAATATGCATTATTGATAATAACCTAGTTATTAGTATTATGATTATATGATTTCAATATTTTTTAACTAGTGCGCCTTGCATGAGGATTTGGTTTCAAGTAGATGTTGTGCCTTCCAAATCTTGTATATTATTATTGTACTGTATCATTATTGTTATTATATTGCTAATCATGCTCAGCTGGACAATTGAAACCAAGTAAATGGTTCCTCATAAAACACGTTTACGAAAAATTAAATCAATTTTCTTACTCAGTGCAGATGCCTTTTGGAGTATACTGATGGTGAACAAGATGAGAACAAAGCGAAGACTCACAAACGGCATGATTAAACTTCAGAACGTACGTATTATGAAGGCTAGGAGGACCGAGTTGCTGCATAACATAATAATATTATAGAATCATTATCAGCGTAATATTGCATAAAAATCGACCAAAATGATGGCTCACATTGACAGGTAATATTCCACGAATGTAGTTTTTGTTGTTGATTTCTTTGAAATTAACATTTTACATGCAAATTGATTTTGTCAACACATCCCTGAGAGTTAGACACTCGATCGTGTTACAAGTGTATTTACAGGATGACCCAAACATGATCCAACATAGATATAGTGAAGTATTGTCAATGCTTACATGATCCACAGTGAACATAATATGCAAAGCATGTTTGTATGCGGAGGGGGGGGGGGGGGGGGAGGCGGGAGCATAGAATAACTTTTCACATCTCTTAGAATATCCATTCAGTTCTCAGATGGTTAAAATCCACATATTTATAAGAAAAACATAACTTTTGGAGTACCTGTTTAGTACCTAACTCATTTGATTCATCAATTTCTATTCGTACAGCATACCTATTTTGTGTGCATGGTGTCCTTACTGACTTCGGAAAGGTATATCACTCTTGAATTCAGCTTATTTAATGAACATCAAATCAATCCCAGTCCATCACTACATTTACTACATGTATATTGCCCATTGGCAGACATCTTGAGAGAAGAAGGATTTCAAATCTTAGTCAAACTAGATTATCATCGAACCGGTGTCAATAGTACGTATAATTTATTTCCACTTCAAGATTTTGTTCAATATAATATACATTTAAACCTATACTCTATAGGGGGTCACGAAAAAACATTATGATATACAGGTCTACCCTCACATCAACATCATGAAAATAACCCGGGCATGCAAGAATATACACTGTAGTCTACATGTATACACGGCCTATAAATAATGTTCATGCATATCCATAGACTTACCTGTATAGCTGTATGCAGGGAGGCGAGACCTCGATCCCTGCCTGTACGTTGTGATATATTGGTAGACGGTATACAGCTCCGTGAGGTATTATATACATCCTCTCACTCTTACTCCTCTTACAAATTGTAGCTCACTGCTCACCATACATGTACCAGTTGGTAGACGATCAATAGCGCAATGAAAGCATAATGTTACTGTACATGATACTTTGAAGCATATGCTAGTATTGTTACATGCATTACGCTTGCAGCAGCAGCTCGGAGGCCTAGAGGGTATCAATATTCCACAAAGAGTAAATGCCACGCTCCAATGGGTAATGATATTGACCTGAATACGAAGGACATGTTATTGTTAGTAGTAGCAAAGAGATCCGTGTGTACACAGTACGGTGAAGTGGAATATAGTGAATCACGATGACCTATATACAAGATATGCTGAACGGATTCAGCTCATAACAGGACAAGGTTGTCAAAATGGATGACCCTTACTATTATACGGCATGCGAAATATCTACGGGTAGATTGAAAGAGAGCGAGGGGAAGGGGGAGGGGGAGGGGAATGGAGGGAGAGAGAGAGAAGAGGGGGAGGAGAGTGGCCGGGATGGTGGAAAATCAAGACTGAACGGAGAGCTAGAGGCCCTAGAGGCACTCGGCCAAGATAACTACTCATATAGAGGCTGTTCAGCCTCATAGTCGTGACGAAGCTGTGTATATAGAGCATGATTAGGGTCTGTTATTGTAGTTGTACACTGTTTGAATGGTGGGATCTCGTATAAGAATGTCATGAATGTGGAAGTAGATTGCATGTCGACAGTCGCCGGTGAAGTATAACATAATTAGTGTCATATGTTGATTGCCAGATGATGTGCAAGAGCTATGGTACATGGTGGGAGATATACAACGTGAGTATATGACTCTTAGTATACATGTTTATACGCGTCGTGTTTTGGGTTATTGAGAAACGAAATGTATATGGCACAGAGCGATCGCTTGACAATCGCAATATAATTATGATCACGATGCACATTGCACAGCCTGGAGATAATAAAACAGTGATCGGGAGGTTGGATGAGACATGATATATATCAGGGATGTCTCTGGATACAAGTTAACAACCAAATTATTCATACCCTTACCAACTTTCGTAATTTTTTAAGTATGTAAAAATTAATTCGTCCAGATTTATATTTCTTGTTGACAATGTAATATTTTAAGAATCGATATTTTTAATATCACTTAATTCAACCAGTCCACCTTTCATTCTTAAGTTACGAAAAACACGAAAAACATAACAATTTACAATTAAGGAGTATGAATAATTCAGTGGGAAGGGAGTCACAAGAAGATAAGATATATTCGGGGCTAAGCTGACTGTTTCTGGATGGAACCAAACAATTTGATTTGGTCGATAGCTCCATATGAAATAAGTACAGTCTATACGTATAAATCGTTTGTAGGTAAGAAAATAAGAATACATATTAGGACACTTCTAGATCAGCGTTATTAACTCCTGTTTTTTCGAGCAACTTAACATGGAAAATCATATTTATAAAGTTTAAAGGGGAAGTCGACCCTGATATTAAGTTGGTATTAAAGACCGTCACCACTACGTATACTGGGCCAGAAGGGATTAGACCACACAGAGAGCCATCAAGGTCGCTGTGATAGGTGGCTATCTCATTAACTCAGCTCTCATTTAACATAAGAAAAAGAGGATCATGGGGGACCAACAGGCACCGATTCGGGAAGTTTTCTATATAGAGGGAGCAAGTAGCTACAAGTATGGCAGTGTGCCTTTAAAAGAAACAGAAAATTGAGAAGAACGAGTCAGTGAAAGTTTGAATAAAATCCGATTAAAATTAAGGGAGTTACGATCAATCAAACGCAATCTTGCAACTTTTCAATCATACATGCACCCTAAATGTAATTTTATTGTTTAAAAAATGTCAATAATAAACAAAATGAAAGTTGATGAAATTTTCTGTATAGAGCAAATTGGAGAGGACCTCGGTCAATACAGTGTTGTCAATTTTTTCACTGAGGACAACTTCAAAAATTCACAACTTTCTAATTTAACCGGATATTGATCTAATTTCACCAATTTGTTTTACTCGTTTTTCTGCTTCTATTGAAACCAACCTTAAAGGTAAAGACCAGTATTGGAAACGCCCCAATTTCAAAAAATGAAATGGAAGCTCTCATTACCAATCATGTGAAAGAATATGTTTTGACTAATACATGATGATAAAAAATTTGCCGGGAAACCGCCTACTAATTCATATATTTGGTAAATTTGTTTCTCTCATGGTCTGTGAGAGATATAGGGTAGTCCCATATACATCTTTCTGTGTATAGTGCTTGTAACTTTACGAAGAATGGGCCAAATTTCTTATCATTTTGATGATTCCTAGAACCTAGAGCTAGATGCTAGATGATCAACCTTTTATGATCGATTCCACAACGTTTCTTTCACAATGCAATTGCATGACCATAACTGGTCTTTACCTTTAAAGGAAGTCACCTCAAGCTTATGCTTAAGATGACATCTTTTGTGTATATACCATGTTCTTATCATGCATCTAAATGTATAAGATCATACATTTATACACAATTATGAATAAATAAACATCAAATCAAATCAAATGTTAGGGTGGACTTCCTCTTTAATCATGTAATTTAGGTGTATGAGCAGAACAATTCGTTCCTTTATAGCATGAAAATACCAAGGTATTAATTGCGAATTTAAATGAAATTTGAACGATTAACATATCGACAATAATGCGTTCTCTAGCGTATACTGTACTCATTTAATCCCATGAAATCCCAGTCCAGGTTTCTGATGAATGTACTGAACATAATACACTGCCTTTATACCGTATTTTCGAACAAATTTTATTATATATTTATATTAGGCTAACCGCAATGCAAGGCGGCTTATTGTTAATCACAGTCAAAGAAGTTTGAATTTTTCTTTCAGTTTTCTACTCCTGTAATCTCCTCCATCGGTTGTCAAGGCTCTGACCAAACACCTCCATTCTATATCGTTGTACTCCATGGAAGTCTATAATGCCTCCTTCATCATCTTCACCCCTCGTTCTCATCATATGCATCGTCAGTCTACTGGTGGAAAAGTGTTTAGCACAAAGTGGGTATAAGCTCGTGGTTGTTTAATCTTGTTTTTACCTTGGCTTCATCATGAGGGTTTTTTCTTTCTTTCTGTTATACCAGGGATGTCACGAGTACTGGCGTATCCAACACTGGGGGTGGACACAGTGTAAACCCCACCCAGTTTAAGATATAGAAGTTATATAATATCAATAAGCATACTTCTAGCAGTGTGTCCATGTCACGTGGGGCTGCCCAGGTTAAATCCGCCTGCTCCTCGATCTGTAGGGGAATCTTCTGATCATATCATCTTATTGGGACAAATAAAAATCAAGGTTTCTTTTCAGATATTGTAAACTTGCCGAGGGACATGGAGTTTAAAAGTAAGATTAAAATAAATTTGCCCACAGTGTTTTCTTTAGCTACAAATCTGAAATTTGATTACCAGTGACGACCCAGTATAACCAATGCTTGTCGTTCCTGCCGGTAACCATGGTAACAAAATAGTTTAAAAATCATAATATTGGATTCTTGTATAGCGCTCATGTCTGACACAATCATATGCCACTCCTGACGCTCCAGCAATACACTTAATTTGTCATGAGTTCAAGTATTGGTATATTTCGCCAACTCCTATATGGTTCATCCATTCACTATTAGATTCATACCTATTCAATTAATATCTTCTTAACCAGGTGATGGTGATTTACGTCTCACCAATGGTGCGACGAGTTCCGAAGGGCGGGTGGAGATGTACTACGATACGAAGTGGCTGGCGATATCTAAACAAGCTTTGAACAGTAAACTCTCCATGATAGTATGCCGGCAGCTAGGCTTAGCTGGTATGAGATCAGAAGCTGTGATCAATGCCTTCGGGAGAGAGGGGAAACCCCGAATGGTCATTGTGTCCAATGCGCAATGTGACGGCCACGAGGATAGGCTTATTGACTGCAAAGGATTCAACTGGAATCAACAACGATTAGAAGAGGCACAGATTGACAATGACATCGGAGTCATCTGTAAACCAGGTGAGAGAAATGTATATTATTAACGAATCAAGCACGTGTAGTGGCGTACCCAGCATGAGGAACACATTATTTTGAGTACCCAGGGAGCAATAATATAAATGCGATCGCAACTACATTCGAAAAATCAACTTGAGGCGATTTCAATTGGCCCATACGTCGATCACCTATCGAAAAGTGCGAACATGATAATGACGTATTATGTGATCCAACATGATTTCTATGGAACATTCATTAGGTCATCGAATTTGCTCTGAAGTTGATTTAAACAAACAGTAGTTGCAATCTTGTTTATGACTTGCAACTGGCTTAAAGCATGCGGGCGGAGCTGCTCAGATATACTGATTTGTTGTGGATTCCGTCCGTCCCTCTAATTATCTATTTCTGGATACGTCACTGTATTTCAACGGAAAGCTGTTTGCAGGTTGCCGAGGTTGGGTTACAATTGTACTTGTCTTTATAGATGACATTGAATCAATCATAGAAACTTAATCTTGTGCTGCTGCTTAAGTAAATGTTTTACATTGAATAGCCTAAACTTGAAATTATATCAAAATAATTAATATATCTATATGACTGAAACTACGTACATATCATACAAACATTATATCTTTTCTAAATCAGTGGTGCTTAGGTCATACGTCCATACTTATCCTGAAGATCTATCCAATCCTTTTACACATTTCTAACGCAGCCCTAACGAATAAGTGATAGCTTTCAACTATTATTGTTCTATTTTCACATTCAATATTCATTCAAACAAATCAATATAATTTCTGGATATTGTACTTAATATCATGAATGCTAATTTAGTCAGATTAAAATATTCCTAACTATTTTCTTTGACGGACAGGCGATGGCGATTTGCGTCTGGTGAATGGTAAGACGCCCAGTGAAGGACGCCTACAAATACATCATGAGAACATGTGGAACACTTTGAGAAGTGGAAACGTGACTAACCTTCCGACCGTGGTGTGCCGTCAGTTGCGTCTGCCTTTCACCGAGGCTCACACAGTGGCAGACGTCAGTGCGTTTGGGACAGGTACTGGTAGTGTATTGATTGCTGATATCACCTGTAAGCCTGGCGATATCCATTTGAAGGACTGTACAATCAACAAGACTAACGTTAGTACTGAAGCAAACATACACGATCGAGATGTCGGAGTTGAATGCAAGGGAGGGAAGTCACGTCGAAATAAAAACGCGGCAATAATTATTTTGTATCTCTGGGGAAAAAGAAGACCCCCCCCCCCCTTGACTTTTGAATATATAGAACAAAGTACGTTTAACGTTTGGCAATTCTAGATATTGGGTTACGGTAATTCAGATATTTGGCCTGTATTTATTTTCTCTTCAAAATAATCATTTGGTTATTTGTTACCTAGGAAGCATTTTTTTTGGGGGGGGGGGGGATGGGGTAGAAATCACACTAATTGATTGTGTTACAATTGGCGATAAATTGATTTTTTTTTTTTTTTTTTTTTTTTTTCTTCTCAGTACCCTTATAATTTGATGTACCTCTTTATTTTTTTCATTTTAGAGTATATTGCGTCTGGAGATGTACGACTTGTAAATGGGTCAAACAATCAACGAGGGCGTCTTGAAATCTACCTGACAGGTTCATGGTCGTCATTCTGTAGCCTTGGATTCAGTGTCAACGAAGCAACCGTGGCTTGTCGCCAACTTGACCTTGATATATCTAATCCAGTCGTTCTTGCAGATAATTATTTCGGAAGTAGCTCAAGGAAAAGAAATTACTTTGCAAGTTGCTCTGGCTCTGAAAATCGCTTCACCCACTGCTCCCAACTACTACTATATAATGATATTCGGTGTGCTACTTTTCCAGACGTTGGCATCTGTTGTTCAAATGAAACAGGTGATTATACTCGAACCGTTGCCCCCGGCCCCCCCCCCCCCCCCCCACTCAGGTTTCGAAATGACCGCATGCGTGTTGCCAAAATGTCCTTTTCGTAACAAAAGAAAAAGGTCGACCCGTATTGACTTTACACACCGGACTTTTGCTGAAAAGGGGGAGTGCCGAAAAAGGCTCGTATACAAAAGAAAAAGGTCGAGCCGTATTGACTTTACACACCGGACTTATGCGTACCCTAAATAACACTGAGTGGGGGGGGGGGGCCGGGCCGTTGCCATACATCACTCACACCAACGAGCCCGACACAAGACCGACACCAGATAGACTACACACTGACTGGACCAACATTTTTGTTACGAATGGCCAACAATCAGTCCGTTTGGAGTCGGTGTGGAGTTGATTTGGCTGTATAAATGAGCTATAATCAATAAACAAGAGAAGGTTATAATACTGGTTCTTTTGTAATGAAAACAAAAGTATTACATTGCATACAGCCATGGAAACATGATTTGAATTCTGATCGGTACTAAATAATTCCTCGTATCAATAACATTTCTTTTTCCTTGTCCATTTTTTTTTTAAATATCTATTTGAGTTTTTTGTATAGCTATATCAGCATTATGGTCCAGCTTTCTTTACTTTCATCTTCTTGTGTATTTTCATTCTTCTGCTTAATATGAATAGTAGACAAATGAATTTGAAGATAATAATGCTTTCAAGGTAAGAGTATTCCTTACACACTCTTATGTGTTTGTAATGTTGATAACCGTAACTACCCAGTTTTCGATGATTGACTTTGATCATTGGATTCATTTCCTTTTTTCATTACAGTGCCATGTGGATATGGCAGCTCACCCAGTATTGCGGATATCATAACCGGCGTTGTAGCAATGGTTTTAACAATTATGGGAACTTGCTGCTTCTTCTGTTGCTGCTGTTGGTGCTTGCGTCGTGAAAAAGCCAGACAGAAGCAGCAATACGCAACAGTATCACAAAACCCACCTCCACAGACATCTGAAGGAGCACCATCAAACCATATTCCGATGACTACAGTCGAAAGTTCAAATGTACCTGTTTACGTACATTCTCCTGTTCAACATGGTGCGTCAAACTGTGGAGCCACGGGTATGCCTCCACCTGCACCTGCTGGTAGTGCCCCATACCAAACACAGCCCTATCCATACCCAGCTGGACAGGCTCCTCAACAAACAGGTGCTTATCCTGTACCTTCTCAACCAGGTTACAATCCCACCGCTGCCACCAATCAATATCCCCCGCAATCAGCTAAACCTTATCCTCCACAAATATCACCCATGGTACCACCTTACGGCGCTCCTTACCAGTCCACGGATCACCCTTACCCTCAGGCATCCACAGAACAGTCGCATCCGACCATAGGTGATCCTAATCAACACCCCCTTTCTCATGCAGGATTAGGAGTACCGAGCGCGCCCCCGGTGAATGGGGGTTACTGTATGCCCCCTTTGACACCACCACCTGCATATGAAGAAGTCACCAGTCCTTATTTAGAACACTGATTTGCTTCTCTACGTAAACCCATGCAATGAAAGCCTATAAATTAACGTTCTCTCCACATCCCTTTCTCAACGTTGATTGGTGGTATGAATATAGGATGAAAGAAACATTTACACTCATATTTGGAACTTAATAGATTTATTGGCAGATTTGGTGGAGGGTGTTTGTCTTGTATTGTAGAGAAAAGAGGACTGTAGAAAGCGCGGAAGAATAACTACCCTGCACTATTTGACAATACGCAATATTTTGTGTCATGAGTGTTTAATATTATATATAGTATTGGATCATAACATTTATAGGTATGATGATATAGTGTTGAAATTGTCTCAGGTGATATTTTTATGTAAATGTGTCAGACTCTCTTTATATGAAATTATGAGTGACAGGACACCCATACGCTCGTATAATCTTAGACTAAACATGCATGTCAGAAATTCAGGAATGAAGTCTTCCAGTAGCCGTTACGCTTTTCTTCACCCTCTGTCTGACACAGCAAACTCACCAAAATGTCTGAATGAAGTTTAAAATGTTTTTAAAAATGCCTTAAGCCTCGGTCACAAATGCCATTACGAACTGCTACGAACGCCGTACGAACGATTATAAGACAATGGAAATTCGGGAAGACAATGGAAAAACAGGGAGATTCGTACGAACGCATCGTTCGTATATACGAACCTTTGTGACCGTAGCTTTACGGAAATACAAATCAAAACAGTGTACCGGACATAGTGTATAGCCTATAGCGCTATAATACCCAGTTACACCGCTAAGCCGACCCATAATCTACAATATTTTGGCCATTCACGTCAACTAATTTTATCGTTCGGTCATTGTCGGTGGTCTTGCATTGGCCTCGTCAATGTGACTAGGATATGCTACTGTAATGTAAACGTTAAGTTTGTCTTGACATACAAGTTAACCCCTACGTCTTCGTAATTCTTTGAGTTCTTGCAAAAGAGTACCTAAGTGTGACGTAATACTGGCGAAGTTGTCAAGGTTGCTGCTCCAAACAATGTCGTGCTAAACAATGGTGTGGTGATCACACCAGCACCAAACATTGAATTTGTCTGCATGTTCAAGACCGTTGCTTGAATGTTTTCGCGGTGAACCTCATGCGCAAGCTCTTTATTTGGAACTTGTAACCTGGGCGACGAGTGACTATGACATTAGCACTTGGGTACTCTACTATGTGAGCACCGGAGATGACTTCACATCATAGACCAACCAACGATGATGACTATTATTCTATGTCATGCAAGCCTCTTCTCAGTAAGACTGCATAATGTTATCTTATCGGCTATTGCAGCTAACAATCGGCAATAATAACTGCCGATGATTATGAAATGATTTGGGTATGAAATAAAGTTAATAAATCCACAGCAGTAACTGAGTGAAGATGGTAATATAATTTATATTATGGGGAAACGTGAGTAAGTGAGAGTGAGAGAGAGACAAATAGAGAGAGAGAGAGAGAGAGAAGACGAGAAAGATATTGAGGGGTATAGCAGAGACGACATAGCTAGGGAAGAGGAGAAAAAGAAAAAAAACTTAGGGAGATACGGAAGGAAGGAAGAAAGAAAGAGAGAGAGAGGGAGAAAGAAGTGAGTGAGGGCAAGAAAGAAATTAATAGGCGATGGAGGCAAAAGGAGGGAGCTAAATGAAAAGATAGGAGTGGGGAGAGGGGGTGGAGCTGGAAAAAATGTCTTAGAGGAAATATTTGTTCCATGGGGAAATCTGCACGTTTTTTTTATAATTTTGTTTCTTTTGTCTATCTAACCCATGACTCGTATTTTTTTTGCATTGATTTGTTTTGTTATATAAACATAGGAGGAAGTTTTTGGTTGTTGTTATTGTTGTGTTTTTTGCAAGTTAAAGCACAAAATATGCTAATTCTCACACAATGATCTAATCGAAGCGGGTGCATCACCTGACCATAATAATATCAACCAGTAAATATGGAAACAAAACCCATGCTGTGCAAATTTCTATCGAAATACGACGATCCCAAAGGCTTTCGAGAAATCAACATTACGAAATTCTAATAGCCTTGTGCGTCACCGCTTGAAAAGCACGATCAAAATTGACATTGACATATCTCGAAATTCGCACATATTTTATTCAGGCAATACACTAGGATATCGACAGGAGCTGGGACTAGGACTGATTTTTGGAATGTCTTTCGTGTTCAAGTGTCAAGTGTATTATACAGTCCGATATTGTCAATTTCAATATGCAAGAAAAGACACACATTTAATCATTACATCTGGTACACACCGTGTAATACAGAATAAATGTCACATTTATTGTGTCACAAGCTTCACAAATGAGTATAGTTGACAAATTTAATTACTTGATTCACAGTTTCACAGTGAAGAAATGCATTGAATAGCGGAAAATTTACTACAAAAACGTGGATGTTGCTCAGACTACGTGCGCAATAACAGACTAAACACCTATGATCATCTGCATTTGATCAATGTAACAGATTAATTTCTATTTTCTTGATTCATAAAGATCATTGTTTGTATAGGAAAGGCTAATTAAAAAAAAATTGTAATAAAAGAAATAACCACAATATTTCCAACAAAAATGTCCCCCCAAAAGAGGCTCAGATTTGTTTTCTTCGAAATTTGCAAAGCAGAAATAATACATCAGTTACTGATAACTGGATTCGAAAAAGCTCATATAACATTCCGTTTTAAGGCGAAGGTGTCACGGCACCCTCACCCTCTCTGATGAAGAGATTATCATTATTATTAGCAATTCGGCAAAGACAAAAATCTAGAAAACAGTGAATACCAAACAGTTGAAGATCTGAGGTGAGTCACATGGTTGTTGGGTAATGAAAAAGGTTAACTAAATAACCATAACCCGTGTGTAGCGGGTTTTTAGAGACGTGTATCAATCAGATATGATTATTTACGTTTGGGGACCGACCTTTAAACGTCACCATCGGAAAGACGTGACTCAGTTTCGAACCTGTGTCCTCAGCTGAATCAGTTTGTAACTTCCATTGTTAGCTGGATTACAGGCGCACGCCACAACGCCCGAATGTCTTCTTTTCTTATATACGAACATATAATCACGATACTTCACATTTATAATGGTTTTTCTTTGTCTATTTTTTCTCATTTTGAATATAAACACAGGTATGGTAAGATGGCAATCCTTAAGCTGTTAGGGGAACCAGTCGTCATTCAACATCACTCATTATTATCTACAAACAATTTGGGAAAGAAATAGATTCTGGTAAATAGGTTGAGCTGGGTACTCCATAGTGTAATGTGCTTACTTTCGAGTCAGAGAGGGGAAAGTGAACTCATCTCTCATAATAACGTCTCTTATTCCCCTTTCTGCTAAACTTCCCATTCTTCTTCAACAAATAAAGTAAATGTAACGATATGTATTACCTTCTTTCATAAACTTCTTTCATGTAAATAAGAACAATTAACCATACAGAATATAAACCCCATTTAATAAAGTTCCAAACGCTTTTAACTACGTATATCATTTGCATGATTTACATATCTATATATCTATTCAATCGTTGAGATATAAAGTTATATTTATAAAAATACCTCCTGTGTAATACTTATGATATACATTTTCTTTTAATTTCCAACGTTCGAACAGGAAATAAGATTATGATTTTTAAATCATTTTTAATTCTTAAAATTTGGTTTAAAAGAGGTGCCATTGGTTTGAAACTGTCACATCAATGACAGTTTGTTCACTTGAAAGCTCTCTCACTACGAAGATAATGTTGAGTTGTTCGTTTAGAGCTTCTTCATTTATTTCTGACCTTAAATGTTATGTCTTTAACATAACAATTATTTGTTTATAAGATTTTGACTGCAATAACATGCAGCAGATATGATGAAACATGTATTCATGTTTTTGTATTTTGATCCAGCGTATGGTATTTTGGTTAAATAAGTTAGATATAACCTGACACAAACATGAATATATTTTCCACACATAATAAACGACACACTATATACCATCAACAAAATTTGACCCACATTTTTTAACATAATATAGGTATATGCAAACGATCTTATCACCACCGTGTGTAAGATAAAAAATAAGTGCACACCGTTTATTAACGAGCAAAAACTCTGACTTGGCTCTTCATTTAGTAGACGAAAAATTAATATAGCCGCTTAAAAACATTTTAAGCCTTTGGCTTTAAACAATTTGAAACAATTTAATTGTGTGATAGCCATGATGATACTCAAACCTGCTCTATAAGTCTTGTGCAATACAAACGTAACGTTAAAAATAATATTATTTGACGACGATACACGCATTTTCAATTACTATACACTTACATTGTCTATTATAGCCTCACAATCGATATTTTAATGACATCCTCACCTCAAGGATATAGCTTTCAAACACCTATTTTAAGAATCACTTTTTATAACATAGATGAAAAATAATTCCAATCGGCTGGATCATTAATCGCGATGGCAATTCAAAATTCTATTTTGCACAAAAATACGTTCACTAGTAAAACATAAACTCTTGTTAAAAATACACTATTCATGTTACTGTCCGACTCCGCTCTCCTTGTAAGATCCTCAATCTGTTGCACCATAGCCCATCAACAGCTCATATCCGTGCCTTAGAAAATTCTGATTCTTTTAAGTCTAATCTGAAGACAGTCCTTTTATTCACATACTTGAATATAATTCAACACAATTTAAATCATCCTGTAGTCTATCATGTATTTCTCCTTTCTTACTTTTATAATGCACCTCGGAATAGTTTTACTAGACAGATGACGCAATATAAGTGTGTTATAATATATAGTATTACTAACACAGTACCTCAGTCACACCAATCACACCGATATCAGACTGACAACATAATATAATATTACCCAGGCCTCTAGCCAAGAATCAGTATTTGTTGAATAAGAACACATACTCTGTACAAAACACAGATTACACATCGCATTGTATACCTTAATAAAGCTTGTACTGTACACAAACATGTCAATATATTACCAGGGACATTAATTTCTATAACAAAGCTATTTCTAAATCGCAAAAATATGTCTTTTATGTGGACACTTCTTAAATTCTGATTACAGTTCCACAGAAATCAAACGAACAATCATACTTTTTAAAATATTTTCATGTATTTTCAGCTGCTATTCAATCGTATGTTAAAGTAAGGTTTAATAAAGGATTGAATTTAGTTTCACTATGTTTTGCAGCTGACTGAAGTATTAGGGTATACCAATCATGACGTCATACTTGCCACGTTGTCCAGATTGTTGGTTCCAAACAATGTTGTGATAAATAATGACGGCCTGATCACACCAGCCCCAAACACTGTATTTGCCATGCTCCCGCCCGTTGCTCGAATGATTACGCGGTGAACCTCATGCGCAGGCCCTATTGTTTAGAACCAGTTAGCTGGAGGACGAGTGAGTATGATGTTAGCACTCTTGTACTCTATAGCTCAGTATGATGTATATGAATGATCCTGACACGAAGAGCACCATCATTTTAATAGATTCACAAAATATCATACATGAACTTAAGCATTGTGTAATATTGGCGATGATAAATATCGCAACGACAAATATAATTTGCTGAGCAAGAAAGAAAATTCTTCCTCAACATAATTCAACATGTTTAATTATAAAAACGATACATACTAGTGTTTGAAAATAAACCATTCCGAAGAACTAAAGTGAATATTGAAAGACTATACTTCATAGGTTCAGTTTCAATTCTTTCACTATCATCTTTCAAACAATTATTATCATCATGATCTTCATAATTATCATCACCACCATCATCGTCATCTTATAACACATAACACATTTTCCAATGTGCTCACACCATTCAACTGTCGGGTCTTAATTAGGATTTTTTCCCGATTCATCTTGCATTGCCTCTGATAATCATAACTTCAAATCGGTATCATCTTCATTCATCGGAAAATCGGCCTGGACTTCGACCGAGTTCGTCGGTGCTCCGATCACCACTTCATAGCCTGGAGGGTCATCAGCTTCCATCTCCTTCTTTCTTTCTCCACTTTCCTCCAACTCGATGGAGTTATTATCGTAAGCGTGTTTGGAGGTGCTCCCGTGCTCACTGTTACCTAACTTCTCAGCATCCTTCCTCTCTTGATCCTCTAACACGTAAGCTAGATTCACATCAGGTCCTGCAAGACACAAATATAAGCCGATTCTAGTATGTACCTTTATAACCGAGCATTGTAGTCTAGTCAACCTACAGAAAGTTATACATTTTCAACCAAGGTTAAATATTTTGTGAGAACTTTACAGATAACTCGCACCGATGTCTCCTCAATTTAGTGATGAAAGACTAATTTTCGCAGCAATATTCTATACAGGGATATTCTACAAATAGATATGTCACTCTTTGTTAGAAAAAAATGAGCCAAAAACAATAGAAGCCACTGGGAAGATAAATTAAGTACGTGATGAGCTACGAACTTAAAGACCAGAACTGAAGTAAATAGAAGGGGGTCGTGAGTAACAGCTGTATTATATCTTGAAAGACGAAGGTCTGAAATTGATAGAATTTATAAAATAAATACAATAAAATGGAGCACCTTATACATACAGAACAACATAGATGAGAAGGGTTTTGAGGGTGTGGATGAATGCTTACCAATATAGCTGAGGACCACGGGTAGGAAGATGAGACCGTGAACGGTACCCACCAGCGTGATCGTCAAAAACATTCGGAAATAGAAGACAACAAAGAGCTGGGACTTGGCGAAGGCTAGCACTATAATTCCTGGCAAGTTTGTCATTGCTACTCCGCTAAGAACCTGCATTTATAATTGGGCAAAAAATGTTTTTAATCATTTCATTATTATCACTTTTATTATTATTATTGTCATTATTATAATAATTATTAGTAGTAGTAGTAGTAGTAGTAGTAGTAGTAGTAGTAGTAGTATTGTTATTATTAGTATTATTATAATAATTATTATCATTATTGTAATCATCATTATCGTCATCACCATCATCATCATTATCATAAGTGTTATCTTTCCTCTTCTTCTTTTTTCCTCTTCATCCGCCTCGTTAATATTCGTCTTCTTCTACTAATACTTCTTCTTCTTCTCTTTCTCTTTCTTCCTTCTGCTTCTTTCGTTCACTTACCGAACTTCCCATGGTAGCGAGTGCATATTCGGCCCTCTCTAGACGACCTTCCTTCACGCAGATAGAGAATGATCTGGTGATGTGAGAAACGAATTCCACTGACATACCCACGGCCTAGAAAGAAAAGGCAAACATGTAAAACAAGCATACTTAATCATTTCTCGATATTCATATCAAGCAACTTCTAACGTGTAAACAGTTCTCACCAAAACGCGATCTTTTAAAACTACTTTTCTACGTCAAACAACAGGTGAACAGAAGCTGTAAAGATCTGACGTTGTTTTTCTTCTCAAAGTTTTCTTTGAACGTGATAACCCACATATTCGTTTGTGTTGACAGCATATAGATACTAATATAAACACATCGGTGTTGTTTATCACTATCATCACCACTTCATTATCATCTTTATCATCACCATTATCATCGTCATCATCACCGTCGTCGTCGTCGTACAGATCCTTCAGCGTATTCTACATCTTATTTGTGATCCGTGATCGTACCGGAATTGGTCGACACAGATCTCCTACTACTTACCATCATAAGATTGACCAAGGAGACGGCATTGAACTCAATGTTCCATAGGTACATGACACCCATGGTATCGATGACGATCATGGAGATGCAGCCGATGATGATGAGCGGAGCTGAGACGCTAAATCCTAACATGAGAAGACTGACTACGAAGATAGGCACCAGGGCGATGAGCAACTGGACAATGGCTTCATCAACGAGTGTCAGGTACTGCTCATAGAACACGTAGAAGATACTAGATGGAGGACAAATAATGAAAAAATAATTATAAAAATACCCATGCGATATGAAGATTCGGTGACATTTTGATGGAAATATTTTTCCTTCGACAAAACTCTCATAAGGGAAGAAGGCCGACGCCCTTCATTTTCCTATCATGTCTATGTATCATTACAAGTAACTATGCATAAGATACGATTTCAATATCGCAATATCAAATTTAACATTTATCTTCCGAAGATGTTAACATATCGAAGGTTCATTCATGAAATTGTCATCAGGCACACATTCTAATAGTCTCAAGAGAAATATCATGAGATATAGCTGCAGTCGACAGTTTTAATTCATTGCAATGAGCAAGTTAATATTTCAGTTTTATTTTATATTTTACAAATTTAGCAAGAGAATGGTACAATGGTGCCCCGTAGAAAGGATCAAGACTTGAAGAGGAATTACCTAAATACGAATTGCTTTAAGAACCATGCTTAAAGCCCCACTGTCCTACTTGTAGCTACTTGCTCCCTCTATATAGAAAACTTCCCCAATCGGTGCCTGTTGGTCCCCCATGATCCTCTTTTTCTTATGTTAGTTGAGAGCTGAGTTAATGAGATAGCCACCTGTCAGTGACCTCGCTGTGTGGTCTAATCCCGTCTGGCCCAGTATTGACGGTCTTTAAGATTATAGTCGGTAACTACCAAAGACGGTGACTGCCCTTACCTGTAAGGGAATACTTTGAAATCTTCGGGCACTTCGTAGTCTTCCCTCATAGACTCCTCAATGCTGTCGGCTAGAATGTACGCCTCTTCAAGCGCTCCGATAAAATCTGGTGACGTCACTAACGGAGTGTGATACGTCATGAAGTAAGAGGCTGTGGAAAATGAAATATGCCCGAAGAAAAATTTGAGGCATTTCAAAAGTTGATATTCAGATATGATAGGCCAATGCGTTCAGCCAACCGATCTGTGCATTGTCTCGAACTGGACTGGCTATTAAAGTCTGCCGAGCATTTTCTGTATATAGACGGGTCTGAGACCAGTGTGTTTTCACTCCGACTTTCTCTACAGTTTAACAATATTTATTGCTTTTCTTTATAATGGAGAATGAATGAATGAAGATAAAGGGAAACATAATAAACACGAGTATCTAGGTTATAAAGCATAATGTTGGTATGAACTGTAAAAGAGCTGGTCCGAATGTGTACTGACCTTCAATCACCGTCTCACTTGAGCCTAGAAACTGTACAGCATTACCGTAGGCGGCGCTTCCACTAAAATGAAGGATATTGATAGAAGAATTTAGGTATGATGTAACCTTTGGACCATGTCTCCATGTTCAGTTTATTATATGATCATTATCACTATCATTATCTTTATAATAACCCCCATCATAAGTATTGCTGTGATAGTGCATTCAATTGCTAATGATGCTACCATCACCACCACCACCACCACCACAACCAACATTACTACTACCACTACTATATACTACTACTACTTCTACTACTAATACTCCGCCTATTACTACTTATACTACTCCTATTACTAATTATACTACTACTTTTACTACTACTACTACTACTACTACTTCTACTACAACTACTACTACTACGTACTACTACTTCTCTACTACTTTTCTATTACTGATACTTCTAAAATAATACGGAGAAATCTAAGAAGAATATGTAACAATTATCATGATTATAATGACAATTGTCTTAAAGCCGATAAAGAATAAATAATATTACATCAAATACTCATTTATTAACAACAGCAATACTTTTCTTACCCCTTGTTGCAAACTGCGTTTGGTACATCAGTTAAGAAATCTGGTAAAAACTCCTCGAAAGTTACTGGATCACGTCGATCATTTCTCTCCGATTGTGGGATACATGGTCTGCATAAAGTGTACGGGCTATCTGCAATGGTATCAAGAGACATCGAAACTTATGAGCAAAATCAAAAGTATTTTAGTGCTTGAATGAATACATCGGATACTCGGAAACTCGGATGAAGTGATATGCTTGCGTATAAGCGATTACTTGGCTCCAACTTGCTTTCAGGTAGTGGTGCCGCGGTCTGGCATATACTATCATGTCGACGTTTATAATGGTCCAAGTAAGAACCCCATGCTACTAGCTTTACTGTGATAAGGCGTATTAACCTCTTCGGACTCAGGAGAGGAAGGGACTTCTGAAAGTGGTCAAGATTATGGAATTCATATATCCCTTTGTAGTGATCATACAATAAGTTATCTCTTCAAAATATCTCGATATTATTTATAATGAGTTCATGTGGTCACTTTATAGTCTACGAGCTTGACTGTGAATGGGGCCTAAGTTATCACGGTAGTAATCCATAGACAATGCATGAATATTCAATCTATACCACTCGAACTCTACTTTGGCCAAATATTTTAAAAAAACATATTTAGCGTCCTGTTTTTTGGAAAAATAGGAAGGAGGGGGCCCTTTTTTCTTTTTTTTTTCTTTCAAAATGGCCGCTCAAAATGGCCGCTCGGTACATTTTCCCTGTCAGTCGGGCTATTTTTCAAGATGGCCGCCGACCTTTTTTTTTTTTTTTTTTGTAAATCAGAAATAGATCCATTTTAGCAGTGTTTTTCATGTTTTTTTTTCCTTAAAAAAAAAAAAAAAATTCAAAACAACTTAAAAAAAAAAAAAAAATAGGAGGCGGCCCCAAAAAAGGAAGCGGGCGGGGACGCTAAACATGTATATTTTTTACATGGCCTTAGGTGCAGTGAGTACCTGCATCATTATAGAGATTGTTCAAGCTGAATTCGGGTGATCATTTCCAAAGCTCTTTATAGAAGCGCACAGGAACTTTAGACCAAAAGGGTCACTTTTTGCGTTCGTGTAACTGCTGTCCGTGTGAAGAGCTTAGAAACGTAGGTATCCAAAACTGAAAACTCATTAGGTCCTATCATTTAAATAGTTGAGTTAGCTGTTATGTAGACGAACCTTGTGATGGACAGAACTCTTCGTCTGGGATGGATACTCGACAACATGATCCACTGACCTGAGGCTTCAACCAATCAAAATAGTCGTCCATCCATGACGATGTAGGCTGAGCAATGTAAGTCCTATAGTAGAATCAGTCACCAAGCAAATATTAGTTTCTCCCAGATAAAGTTAATGATATCTACATAATATTAACAACTTGTGGTAGTTCGAATCTTGATTTAAATGAAATGGGTTTGTGTGTTATACAGGCTTCAACTCAAGTTGTTCTTACTACGCCCCTCTACATTGTCTTCTCTAAAATATAAAATCTGAACTAAGTTATCCAGTGACCGAGAAAACAAACTTTAAAGCGCCTTCGAGTGCTGACTTGTATATGGAAAGGCGCTTAATTAAATAAATGGTTATTAATTTCGATATTATTTTAGTCTAGACGTCCTATGATCACACATGTTAAGTTAGTTTGAATATATGATAAAGTATTATGAAATGTAAAAGAACTTCAAACGTCATACATGATACATATAAAACTTAAATACCCTAGTATTGTAGTCAGAATAACACCCGCAAAAAGGGAAAGAAGAAGATGATAAAGAACAAGAAGTAGATGAAGAATAAGAAAAAGAAGAAGTACAAGAAGTAGAAGAGGAAAAATAAAAGAAGAAGAAGAAGAAGAAAAAAAAATTGCACTGAAGTAGTATATTCATTAAGTTTTATGTTTGCTTACTTTTCTTTGATAAGACTAGCATAGTAGATCTGCTGAGTGAGAGAATCTGCGTTACATCCCGCTCCTCCACAAATCTTATTTTGACCTTGCATATTCGAGTAATTGAAGCCACTGGTGGCGACGAAATAGACTGGTGGTCCTACTTTCATGTACTCTCCCATTGTCATCAAGTAGTCAAGTACGTACGAGTCCTGCGAGAAAAGGAACATCACTTCATTCGTTATGAACTCTACTTTCAACATCGTCGGAATTTTCGATTCATTATCGAATTGCTCTCAAAACTGATGTTTACATAGCTACTCACTATTGTCTTCCACGTTATACTCATTTACATGTAATACTGATTAAATATATATTTTTAAAGTTCAGTTCAGTCTTTTTATTTCTACCCTCAATAAAAACAAAAACAACATCCATAAAATATATAAACAAGAGAGCATCATCAATAGAAAACCATACAGAGCAATTAAATTAAACAAATATGAGAATGAGGGGTAAACAATAGCAGGGGACCAGCTACGCACTGAATAATTTACTGAAATATTAACATACCTTGGGCATAGTAATAAATTGATCTAAGCCAACAGGCAGTTTGAGGGTAAGAGCGATACAGGCACATGTGACTCCAGTGAAGATGAGGATCTGTGGAGAAGAAGATGGAGAAATATATTCTTCTAACTTCCAGATAAGTGCATCTGACAGTAATAAAGCGATTAAATGCACACACTTAAAGATAACGCAATGTGTGAAATAAAAACAAAATTTCTCTGACAGTTAGAATTTGATCTAGTCAAGTTAACTGCTTTTAATGTACACGCCAATTGGACGGCATTAACGGCGTAATGGACACTGTCATTATCAACAGTTTTGAGAACCATTTTAAAGGTACATAATAATTGTTAAGGTTCATACCTTCAAGATAGTTTGTTAAGAAATCTAGCAGCTTTACCAGCTACATTCATGAAAAACACGATGTAATCATTGTCATGCCAAGACCCAGGCTAACGACAGATTAACGATTTGTTGTGCTACATGTATTTTAAAATGTTTTGACTTACCACAGCTGGGCGGACCCATTTCTTCATGACGAATGGAGCGAAGTATTTCTTCATCACTATCTGAAGTAATCCCATCTTCTTAGGGACAGGGTCTTTGTGTTTAGGTGGTATACAGCAAACAATGTCGAAACGCCCACTCTGAAAATATGAAACATAAACTTGAATTAAATGCTATTTCATTGCAGCAGATATTGCTAATAATTGGGGTTTTATTCAATCTTATTCTGATTGTATAGTTAACATATTTTTTGGTAGTCCCTATTTACTTTTATCATTTCAAGTCCTATATAAAACGACCCTGCCATACCGACTCGATGGGTGAAGATGTACAATGAATAGAAAAAAGCATGAAAAATCATTTTTAATTATTTGTTAAAACCATCCTTTCCATTATTTCAAGCATGGTACGATAAGATATAGCTGCATACATTAGAATCGTGCTTCGCTCGATACAAAATAAAGAGAGTAGAAACATGAGTCAAGATGACACAAGTCGATAAAACAAAAATAAGAAGACTGAGTTTGCAACATATACGACGCGATGTTTGATGTTTTTAAGTTTTTCTAGTAAATACAAATACAATTAGAAAGTCAAATCCTTAATATTTCACTAGATTTTAGGTTTTTTTCTCATATTATTTGAATAAGAAGATAGTGGCGTAGCGTTGGTCCAGGCTCATAAAAGGGTACGTGTTTCATTGGGGGAGGGGCACTGGGCGTGAAGGGTGGGTGACATTGCAGAGAACAAGGCTACGCAGTAAATGGAGAAGGTCGTATCATCCACACTTCACGTTGCCTTCGCATTCTTCCTTTCTTTTATTCTTTCTCTTTTACTCTTTTTTTTTTTTGGGGGGGGGTCATTTGATTGGGGGAGTATGTGCCCCTTTGTAAATGACGCTGATTACTAACCTCTTGTCTTCGCACATCGAGTGAAAGGAGAGCGACAAAGGCTGTGATCTGAAGAATGAAGTTAATCAGTACAGACATACCAGAATAGAGAGCAAAGATACGAACAGCAGGCATCTCAGTCAAAGCACCTGATATCCAAAAGAAAAGAAAATACAGATTATTTTCTAACAAAGATCTATTTTTAAATATGATGTCATTGCAAAGTTCCAAAACTACAAACAATGGTTTCCTTCACAGTAAACACATAAAGTTGTTGATATTAAAATACAAGTATTAAATTATGTAACTATTAGATGAAAGCAAAATAAATACATATTTAAGATTACAATTCAAATCATGTAAAGAGCAATTATGCATTTCTGACGGGTATAATTATTAACATATTTCATTTTATAATCTAATCGTTATACCCTTATCAAGGTAGTCATAGGTTCCATTCGATAGGAGTATTTACTTGTGACGGCTATCATCATTAGGTGGGCCGTATTGACATTTGATAACGGATTTGATGCAGGTCGATCGTGGTACATCGACCTTATATTTAAGGTTGTCACATGAAAGACAGACTAGAGTCACTAGACACTCGCGGTTTGGGTACGAGCATTCCATAAATACAAAAACAAACACCGCTACAAACAGCCCCCGTCCAACACACACACACACACACACGCACACACGCACGCACACGCACACGTACACACATACACATTTTAACGAAACATTATGAAAGTAAAAGACACTCTAGTAGGGGCTTACACGTCGCCTGTATACCCAAGCAGAATCATTAGCTATAGTGCTCAACAAAGAACAGCAGCTTGGAGAAAGATTTCCATTATGCCATTGTTTTGTTTGTGTTTATTTAGTTATTTGTACTTATTGACACGGAACCTGTATGCCATTTTCATAATATCATCAAATTTAATACACAAAACTTTGTTAAGTGCCTCATTACAAATTATTTCCATTCACCTGTTACGATTTTTTTTTAATTTCAATATTCAGAATGCGAATTGCATACATTCTATGCTGTTATATAGGTAATATTTCCATAATGTTTGTCTTACCTAGCAACAATTAATGCATGCAATACACATTCTGACTATTAGAATATAATTATGTGCAACAGGTGAATGAAATAATTTGATACATATGGCAATTAACAAGACCTTTATGCATTACATTTTATTACATTACTAAAAAAAATGATTGAAAGCTCTGTTTGTTCAAATCCAGCCGAGATTACCAACCAACGTATTTTCTATTGCTCCGTGTCCGGTCAGCACTTTGATGGGAGAAGGCTTAGGAAATACACCTCTTCAATTGCTTTGTTTTGTTTTGAGATGGAGACTCCTTTTGGATTAAATCCCAGTTTTTGATAAGATGACGTCATGGTAGGACAAATTATCATATAAAATCAGTGTTACATATTTACAGTGTTTTTTTAATATATAATCGGTAATTATTTATTTGGCGCTTCAGATAAGTCATCTGTGAGAGCTGGTTTGGGTCCAGATGAATTGAACACAACTTTACTTTACAACACAACATTACATTTACTATGAGATGTACAATAGGGTATTAAAATGAGTTGATTTGAGTTGATTTCTTGAAAGTCTGTACGATCGTATTTCTGTATTTCATCACATTAATCTGTTTCTTTTTTATCATCGTTATGTAAAGGAGAAGAAAGTTAATTCACAAGATAAATTATGTGTATGTACTCTCAACTTACCAAGGAAGAAGGAGATAGACTCCGAGAGACCACATAGCAACATGCTAGGAGCAACCTTTCCCAGAACTCTGCCGATCTGTTCCTCACGGGACTCTCCTTCTTGCCTATGGTCTCGCTAGAAAAACATCACGAGAAGAAGGAAATTACGAAAAATTCTTGTACCCATTTCGTCTGTATTCAAAAATTTCACAGCACAGTCGTTAGACAAACTGTGTATTCTTATTCAAAACACTTCTTAATCCGGACTATTTCAAATTGACATTAGTTTTGGCGCTTTTGATGTTTTAAAATTGGCTACTATAATTGCATGATGGTGTTAAAGATAAGCGCTCATTTAGAATATTTTATATCTTAACAAAATTATACCTTTTGCTAAAAACCTTTAAAAATTAAGTTTGGAAAGAAAATAACTCTTTGATTCAAAGCCTTTTAATCCTATGTCATTGCATCGCTGTTCTATCTTCTAAACCTTCACGTTCTATTAGAAGAATGAAAGAGAACATAAGATTACCTGGAAGTCTAGTACGTAGATGAAGATATTATCAGCGCCGATAGCCAGGATGAGGAAAGGTACGACCTCCATGACGATCAGGGTTGTCTCGACACCAAAGTATCCATATATACCAATAGAAGCAAAGACTGAACTAAGCACGATGAAAACACCACCAAGGCCTAGAGTAATCTTCGAATCAACCTTAAGAGAGAACACAAACAAGGCAGAGATCCATTAGCTTTCATAATCAGTTCACTTCACTTCTTTATTATAAACTTTCATAAAAACGGCGATATCAAAATACATGTTTACAAGAACATCAACATTACAATCTCAAACAGAAAACAAAAATGATTTTATTGGCAGGCAGAAATCTCATTCAGTTCTAATCCCCCTATATATTGGAATGCAAAACGACATGTGCCTTTTTGTTAAATTGAATATGCAGCAAGGGAAAGTTGGTGTAACTAATGAAATGTTGTTATATATACATTGACCTGTTTATTTTGGGTGAACACAAGAGGATATGACTCAGTGTTCGTACATTAGTTAAGAAGTAAGAAACGTGATCAATAGTTCTGTTTCGTCAATACGTTTTCTCATTGAGGTATTACTAAATGTTTAAATATGCATTAAGCTGGAATCAATTTATCGTTCATAAATGTAACCGCCTTTCTCGAGAAAGTATACTGTGATTATTTAATGAACTCCTATTAAAGCTAACTTTTAGATAAAAAGTATGACTTTGATTTGGTATGATGGATGTGTTATATAATGTTGGACCGGTCTGAACACCATAGAATGGATAGTAATGTTTAGGTTTATATACATACCAGCAATCTATCCATCTTGGTGAATTCTCCGAGAGCCAGGGCAATGTAAGCAAAGATAACAAGATAACTGACAGCGATCGTCACCAGATCAGCTTCACTTTGACGAATCAACTCATCTTCGATAGAACGCTGTCAAAACATAGGAGTATAAATCATTGATTGATGGATTGATTGATTGATAAATTTACAATGTAGAAAACGAGGAATAATGTCAAAACAATATATTATGTAAAACGAACTGAATAAAGGAAAGAACGGAGAACTAAATAATGAGGCAAGAGAAGAAAAGAAATGAAAGGAAAAGAAGAGAAAAGAGGTTTTGAGGCATAGAGGTGTTGGAGTCGAGTGGTTTAAGCACTTGACTGGAAATGTGAAGGTTGTGGGTTCGATCACTGACACGGCACTACAGTCCTTTGGCAAAGCATTAATCGACATGTGCCACTCCATACCCAGGAAATAAATGGCGAAAGTCTTTGTGATAGAAATTGCCATATGCCCTCTCGGTGAACATTATGGTAGGAATACTCCACAGGGAGTGTAAATGGTGCACAGTGTGTGCGTAAATGAACCGATGACCGTGGTAATAATACTATCTGTAAAGCGCTTTAATAGAGACGGTATTCCATATTAAGCGTTATAAAAATCCAGATTTAATATAATTATTATCATAAAAGAACTAATGTTTATATCAAGTATTTTATCCAACGCTATAAGGACAGTGGGAAGGGTGTTGCGTAATGCAGAGAGAGAATGAAAATATCATCAGGTGGAATTCGGAATGGCCTCTTGTGACCTACGTGATAAAGAGGTTAACTTCATTTTCTGATAAGGTATTGATAAATTAAAACGTGACTGGAGGTGATTGTCAGGAAGCTCAAAGATATCTCTGTGACATGCCAGAAGATGTAGATAACGCCGTGAGATTGAACCGCAATTGATACTTCCTAGACATGTCATAATTGAAACACAGTCATCAGCATTATTTGATTGCATTATATGAATTCAATGAAGGATAACTTTCAACATATCATAATTTCACAAGCTTCACCTCGTATACTAGATAAATCGTATCCTGAAACATTTTATTTTGTATTGCATCTTTACTTCGTTTAGAAAGTTATTCGAAAATATTAATATTCAGACTTAATTCTTAGACTGCGTCCAGTCACTCCCTTGAAATTCGTTAAAACAAAATTATTATCCAAATGAATTTTAATAGTGTATCCTTACTTAATGATCAAATTATTATATTACTGCTTACTTCTGCGATATCCAAGATAGTAACGTTTGAGATATTCCCTTTAATTAAATTGGATGCCGGAGCTAAAGCCGATCTATTTATCTATTGAAGCATGTTTAGATAGGATAGAAACATGATCAGCAAAGATGTTACCCATCATGGTCCTGATTAAGTCTATGCAATATTATATATATTATTAATAATAAATGTCATGCTTGTGACTTCCAAATCTCTTTAAAAGCGCAGAGAGACATTTAAACCAGAATGTGAAGTGCTTCAGACTAGATCGAAGTTTGATTTTGCGTGCATGAATGCGATGTATAAAATACCAAGAACTATCGGAATGATAATATTTGGAGCTCACCTCTGCTGCATATGCGATGATGAAGTTTGGATTATCATAACTCTCCATGAATCTCAGGTACTCAGCTTCCCATTCTAAGATCATGTTATACTCAGTCTCATTCTCTTTCTTGTTGTCGAGTAGGATAGTGATGGCCAGCAGTTCGGCCTCATTGTAGTCATCGTCTACCGAATCGTAAGAGAAAAATACAACATCGACATCGTAATCATTAAGGCACTCAGTCCTCATCCATTCTCGAAATAATATACGTACCACAAAAAAAAAATGGGTACAAAGGAATTTCTAAGTGTGTGCCCCATCCCAGTTCGAGACCTCTTCCCCTCGTGAAAACTTGCTGATCTTCATTCGATAATTTGCAGGGCCCTGGGAACGATTTTTTCACCGGGGCCGCTGAGATATATATACTGCGACATTATTTTCGCAACGACTCAGCCAGCCGCTGAATAAGCGAGAGGGGGAGGGGGGGGGGGGGGGGGGGGGGGGTAAGAGAACATTTTTTTTGTTGGTGTCCCAAAATTTGAAAATTTGGTCCATTGGTATTGGGGGGGGGTTAGGTCTCTCATTTTGGGTCACCAATTACCACAATTTTTTATTTTTTTATTATTTGTTTTAATTATTTTTTTATTATTTCAACAACAAAAAATTGTAAACGAAGCATGTAATGATATACATTAAATATATCATACCAACAAAATTTGCAGGGGGTGCTGTGCCCCCCCCCCCCCCCCTGGAAAAATTCACCCCCGCTTCCCAGGGCCATGATAATTTGTCTATTTGTTTGTTTGTTTGTCTATTTGTTTGTATATTTGTTGCTGTTGTTTTTGTTGATGATGAAGATGACAATGATGTTGTTATTGTTCCTGCTGTTGATGTTGTTGTAGATTGTTGATGTTATCTTGATATGCCAAACAGGTTACAACCCATAAGACTAACAGCGGAATTTTCCAAAGGAGTGTTGCGATCAAGAATTGATTCCTATACACTCACCTGGATAACCACCGATAGCAACATATGGATAGGTTGGACCACCGAAAGCTGAAACACACATATCACGCAAAGGGGTGTTGTCTTCCAAAGAAAGCGGACTCCTGCAAGCAACGAAATATATCCAAAGTTAAAGAAAATGTCTAAATGTTCACGTATCATACACCTTCGGTTTATCTGTTAGATCGAACTGAATTTGCCCAAAATTTATCTGTGATCTACTTCTCAAATAACGGAAAATTATGGACTAGATGACAGTTTCTGGGTTTGAACGTGGTTGGCCGGATAAAACAACTTGACTTCTATTACAAAATGACTATACACATTTGCGCATACATTAGCGGAATCGTGGAGGGGCCACATTTTCCCCATCGCAAAAGCTTCATTCTGCCATATAAGATCATGCACAAAGCTTTTATGGCAAGATTTGTTTTCACTTATCAATCCATTGTCCATTAAAAAGAAAACTGTTAATCTTGGTGCCACTATTCACATGTGCACACCATGCACTATGCATATTTACAATATCATCACACACAAAAAAAAAAAAAAAAAAAAAAAAAATACTCCATTAATTTAATTAGAAACGTGCATGGTTCTTGCTCTCTCTCTCTCTCTCTCTGCAAATCGAATCTCTAGAAACACAGTTGATGAGCGTTCTTTATTGCGTATCAGTATATCACTTTGAATTTAAAATGTGAAAACTTTGATAAAAAAACATGTATGTGTTTTTTTGGTTTACTCTAGACGATTCTCAATCAGTTACTTTTTAATTATTCTATGTATTTTCTGTAAATTTTTTGAAGACGATATTTATTGGCCTAGGTGAAAAGGCAAGGTCATAAATTTAATTTTGGTAATTCGACCACTCATGAAATAACTATATTGTAAACCTAAAAACAGCAGTTAAGTCATGCAACTTACATTGTACTATTTTTTCAAGGTTATTTTGTTAGATGAATGTAATACGTGTGAATATAATTCTTGATGGATGATTGAGACTTACTTCATGCAATAGATGAAATGATCTCGATAATCGGCTGACTTTCCCTCACCATCAACTGCTACTTTGTTCAGCTGTTCATAACTGTTTCCATACCTGTGCGAAGAACATCAAATCATTTAATAATTATCATTTGACAAGACATGAATCTATCTTTGCCACACTCTATCCAGATGAGTAAAATAGGTACCTGGTAGGTAGAGTTAGTCCTGGAAATGCACTGTGCGCTGGCAATAATCGCTCGTCAAAACTCGTAGGGACGTTATAATAATAACAATAATAATTATCCAGCATTTACAAAGGGCTTAATATCACGTTTCTAAGTGTATAGGAAGATAATGGGAATGAAAATGAGAGGAAGAGAGAAAGAAAAAAAATCATAAACTATTTTATTACGTACAAAATATTTTCCGGAATACTTTCCTAAATTGTTTATTGTTCAACCAAGAATTGACATGACTAATTTCTCACCATTGTAGCACACTTTGAATAAGGCATTGGTTCACGACGGGAGCTAGTGGCTTGTTGCAGATATCACTCAGCCGTACTGGTGAACCTTTGTAATAAGCCGTGATGTTCTCTACTGCCTTCTGAAGATCAAGAGCCTGTCGGGAACAATACACCGATAGTAGGTCGGAACTTTGCTTCATAAAAGTTTTTAAATATTTTGAATTTTTACTCCCATTAATTAAAGAGTTCTTTTAATATTTTAAGATCTAGTGTCCATAATTACCCAGGTCTGGTTCTCATGTTTTTATGCACACTCTTTCAAACGCAAATATAGACAGAATACACTGTTGAGAAACATTTCATTCTCTCTCTCTCTCTCTCTCTCTCTATCTTTGTATATATCACCCTCTCCCTCTCTCTCTCTCTCTCTCTCTCTCTCTCTCTCTCTTCTCTCTCTCTCTCTCTCTCTCTCTCTCTATAATCAAAACAAATGAAATAATAATCCTTGAGAAACTTCTCTTCTTCACTATGACCGGTTTCAATTTTTTTCTATGAAGACATAACATTGAAACCGTTTAAAGTAAAGACGAAAACTATCTCAGGCATTTTTTATTTCATTTGTTTTAATTATTATTTGTATATCGCCGTGAAGGTGCATTATCAACATTAAACTATTTATTCTATATACATGTATATATATATATATATATATCTTTATTTATCACGTTTGGCATTTCTCCTCATTTTGTCATCTTTCAATCTTATTTTTTCCTCGCCTACGTGTCCTTTAGTTTCATTTTCTTGACTGTTCTTTGTTACATACCTGGGTTAGTACTTCTAAATTCACAACTGGTCCGAACGTTTTGTTTCCCTCGTTGTATGTGTCGTATTCGACATAATCCATGCCAGGAGCCCGGATGTAAATCAATGTGGTACGGTAGAAAGGAACGAATGTTTCGTCGTAGTAATCTTTCTCAAGACGAGCACGACTTTGTGGACCAGACCATAGCTCAACGGGATCCGTAACGATCTCGACCAGTAAGATACCTGACAAAGTCGTACAGAGTGAGAAAAAAAGTTTACTGTAGCCAGCGCAATAATGTTAAAGTCTTTGTAGTGACATGTAAAATAGGCCGACTCCTATTTTTTCTCGGCCTATAAAACTTGGGAGTGAAAGCAGAATTGACAATAATTTTGAAAGTGACGGAGGTATTAAAAGTATTGATTTTAAAAGCTTAACGGGGCTCTTTTAGGAAGTAAAGATTGAATATGCGGGAGAAATATGCATCAATGACGAAATAAAACCGTCTAAGGATCAACATGGCTGTTTTTGTTATTTTTTCCTCTCTAAAGTGTTTCGAATAAAAACCGCATGTAAGGTACTATCGTTACAATTACTTACAGCATGTGAGTTAATATCGCGATTATTGCTTACATCATATGCGGTAATATCGTTACCATTACTTACCGAATGTGAGTTAATATCGCGATTATTGCTTACATCATATGCGGTAATATCGTGATCATTACTTACCGCATGTGAGTTAACATCGCAATTATTGCTTACATGTACATCATATGCGGTAATATCGCAACCATTACATACCGCATGTGAGTTAATATCGTGATAATTGCTTAAATCATAATTAAGCGGTAATATGGTGACCATTACTTATCGCATGTGAGTTAATATTGTGATAATTGCTTACATCATATGCGGTAATATCGCAACCATTACTTGCCGCATGTGGGTTAATATCATGATAATTGCTTAAATCATAATTATGCGGTAATATCGCAACCATTACTTACCGCATGGGAGTTAATATCGTGATAATTGTTTACATCGTATGTAGTAATGGTGATCATTACTTACCGCATGTGAGTTAACATCGCGATTATTGCTTACATCATATGCGGTAATATGTCGACTATTGCTTACCGCATACGGTGAGTTAATATCGCGATTATTGCTTACATCATATGCGGTAATATGTCGACTATTTCTTACCGCATGTGAGTTAACATCGCGGTTATTGCTTACATCATATGCGGTAATTTGTCGACTATTACTAATTACCGCATGTGAGTTAATATCGTGATTATTGCTTACATCAAATGCGGTAATATCGTGACCATATACTTACCGCATGTGAGTTAACATCGCGGTTATTGCTTACATCATATGCGGTAATTTGTCGACTATTACTAATTACCGCATGTGAGTAAATATCGTGATTATTGCTTACATTATATGCGGTAATATGGTGACCATTACTTACCGCATGTGAGTTAATATCGTGATTATTGCTTACATTATATGCGGTAATATGGTGACCATTACTTACCGCATGTGAGGGCTACGACGACGCAGACCATGATGAAAAGAACCAAAACGGGATACCTAGCAATGCCTGTTCCCCACCATGTAAAGAAATCCCTCAGACCGTCATCCATCTTTTTATTAAAGTTATCCAATTTGCCCACCTTTATCAAGAAAAGAAAAGAACTTTCACTCTTTTTGTAAAATCTTGAATAAACCATAAACCATAAATTGTCCACAGAAGGAACTTACTTTTTATAGGCATACTGAAATTTTTCTTTCAAAGATAAGCTTGAGTTCTGGTAATTATAGAAAATAAATTCTTACAGAATCCAACAAAACTTACACTGAATGTACAAAATTACAAATAAATAACATGTACCAAACGATTTTGGTAGAAAATGTATAGGGGCTAAGAAATGAGCATAGGAAGATAAGGAAATCAATATAAGGTAAGTAGGACCGACACCATGTGCATAACACAGATTACTATGTGCAAGTAAGAGTTGTGGTTTTTATTGAAGATGATTTCCAGCAATTTTTTGTGATTTTGTTTCTATTTTACCGGTTCAAACAATTGACTACTGCAGGATAAACAACCCAAAATAAATTATAGCCATTTTCTCTCGATATACGATCCCCATACCAGAGCTCAAGATTAGTTTTAATGTAATGTTTAAACGAAATGCACCCTCAAGCATGAAGGGTGATTTTAGAAGATAATCAATCTAAAATCTACGGAGTTAAGGCATGTATCTTCATATTTGGTTTATAATATACGAGTATTGTAATGTGGAAACACAACTTGTAAAGAAATTGTTGGCGTCTTTACAAATTGAAATTACTCTCAGGAAACCTAACATTCATGGAAACACTATTGTTTATGAACGAATGCTGGTGCCAACCCCCCCCCCCCCCCTCCCTCCCTTCCCAAATAATGGCGGGAAAGGCTCAATACAGAGAATTATTTGACAAAACAAATGGGGTTATAGAAAAGGAATAAAAGAAAAGAAAAGAAAAAAAAGAATATGAAAGAAAAAGAAGAAAAATACCCGTCATACAATGATGAAGTCTAATTTAGGAGTACTAAAGTTTGTAAATAGGTTATGACAGATTAAGTTTTTCAGGGGGGATGAGAAATGCTTCCCGTTAACCTCTCCCCCCCCCCCCCCCCCCCCCCCCATCACTGTGTACCTCTCATCGCTTAATCTTTTAAGATGATGAGGGATGACGTCATCACTTACATCTTCGGGTTCTATCCTGACTTCATTCTTCCTGAGAGGGAGCTCTTCATCATCGTTGCTGACGACAAGGCAATTATAAAGGATGAGAGAGACAACGAACAGACAAGCGAGTCCCACATAGATCATGAGAATAATGAAGGAGTATCCATCCATAAGACCTATTTTGTAAGGTGGTACAACTGGTCCGATGGTTGGTAAGGCCGAGCAGGAGAGTTCACAGTCTTGACAACTACAGCTGCTTTGATTGCCAACAGGTGCGTTACAGTAAAACGAGGTAGGGTTCATGGGCTCCATGCCTACCGTAAATAGATTAAACGTAATCAAGAGAAGTGACAAATTAATTTCTTTCGTAAAGCATGTCTACACGTAGAATGGAAATAACACTATGAAAGAATCTATTATTTTGTTATTATGTATTGTGCTGTTGTTGATGTTGTTGTTTTTAATGAACATCATCATGTTACAGGCCTATTGTGGTGCATAACCCAATCAGTTATACCAGGAGGAGGGACCCAAGGGTTACAATGATTTAATGATATCCCTCTCATGCACAGGTGATTTCAAATATTACAGTTAAAGATGATTATAACGATGCAATATCTACATGAAAGGGAGAGAAGCAGAGAAAGAGAGAGACAGAGGGAAAGAAAGGTGTAGAGACAGCAAGCCAGTGGAAATAGAAACGGAGTCGTTAGACAATGTACGATAGCACTCCTGCCGCCTCTCAAATTGTACTTATATCAATCGAAGACTGTACTGCAATGCATGGATGATTTTTACCCTTTACTTGTCGATAAATTTAAAAAAGAAAAATTTAGAATAGAAATTAGTTCATCAATTACAAAACAAATTTTTGAAAATAAGAGCTGATACGGTTTAAAAGGAGGAGAAGGCGGAGATGAAGGAGAAAAGGAAGGAGGAGGCGGCGGAAAATAAGAAGGACGAGGAGGAGAAGAAAAAGAAGAAGAAGGCGAATAAAAGAAGAAAAATATGGATGGAAAAGAATTTTGAAAAAAAATAAAGAGATACATGAGATAATAATTTATTTTCCACTTACTTTCGTCCATGCCTTCGACTGTTTCTCCTGTTGGTACAACTGTGAAGTCAATATTCCAAGGAATGAATCCATTAGCTGTATCACCAAGGAAGTCTAGCCACCTTTGAGGGGAGCAATCGTCACCGAGATACCCACCACACATTACATCCATCACAGGTGTATTAGCAGCTGGGAACTGAACATCCTTACCTGAAAGAATATCGATTGGAATCTCTCAAATTAATGATAATGATAATAATAGCAACATACGTATAACTCTTAATACTACGTTTCTAAAAGCTTCACCATGTTTTCATTGAAGTCTATTTTTATTCCGGTTATTTGATTCATTTTCTATTCCGCACATGATAGTGCACACATGATAGCCTTAATAACATGGTGGCTTCAGTAGTTGTGATTTTCTCAAAGTTTTCATTATTTTCTTTATATGTGTCCTGATTCTGACCACCGATCTACATGATCTAATTAATACATTAATTTTAAGCAAGCTTCTCTCGGAGTCACCAAATAAAGAAAAAACAGAGCAGGTTGCCAAAGCTCAGGTGGACTTTCTAGACAAATATTTCTTTCCGGCGAGAGAGACAACGTCCATGGCAATGGCTACTATAGAGAGGTGGCCTCTAGCCCTCTAAGACAGGTTGGACTTTATTTAATATCGAATCGGGTGAGATGAGGCTTACATGAATCATAGGCGACGTCAGCGAACTCCTGTGCGACGAAGGCATCGAAGCGACGGACGCCGACTCCATCATCGCTAACCAGGAGGACTGTAGCATTGGAATAGAGACTCTGCTGAGGACTACAAACCATCTGACACATCATAGTCAAAACGTTTTCTAGACAGGCTGGACAACGACCGAATGCAGGCCGCAGTGCAGTCAATAAAGGCTATAAACACAAGCATTGAGATACATTCCATGAAATAAAGTTTAATGTGAATAAGTTTCTTTGATATCAAGAAATTTATTGGAAGGCATCAGCGATGGAAAAGAGTTAGTCCTTTTCTAAAGTAGAATATTAGTAATGAACACGTATAGACTGTTATTACATCAATGTCATCATGCCACGATATATATATATATAATGGGAAAAAAGTGAAAGCCAAGAATATTCAGTCCAACATAAAAGATAACTTTCTGAAATTAAATACTTAAAAAGGAATCAAACTTGAAGATGCAAATTTTACATGTAAAACAGTGAATTTAAACAATTTAAGAAATTTAGAACATGATACATGTAAATACTTGAAGATGTTGGTTACCTGCATGGTTCTAAGTTGTTGAAGATCACAGCAGACTTCATCAGGGTTGTAAGCTGGACAAAAATCATTTAGAAGACCAATGGCTGCTGCTGATCCAGTAGGCCGGGCTACTTCATTGTCCAAGCAATTTAGATCTGATCTAAAATTTGTATCAGGATTTCCCCCGCATTCGCTGAACATCATACACCTCCCTTCCTCGTGCAAATACGCCTGTGAAAACATTCAATAGTTAAATACGGATAGTAATCGAATCATTTGTTAATTTTTAATAAGTTGATAGACATTTCAATATGTTTTTTTTTTTACGCAGCAGTGTATCAAGGGAAAGATATATAAGAAGAAAGTAAGTAGAGTCTACTGGTCCATCATAATTATCTAGAGGAACAGGAACCACAAGGACTAGCTCGGCTAAAGACCATTAATGCCTAGGTCACATTTGCCGCGGTGGCCGTGGGGTCTAAAATATCTACAGCCATTATAGGGCTGCCACAGCATTCACATGGTCACGCACGGTAGCAGTCACATATGTTAGGGTAGCCGCACAGCGTTTTTTGAATTTGTGGATACACAAAATATGCAGCTGCCGTATAAGGTTTTTGAAGTGTCGACGCGCGGTCGCCTTAGGATGTCCCTGCGGCGGCCGTACAGTAAACAAATACCAAGGCAAACACAAGGTAGCCGCAATGCCACCGTACGCCCGACGTATGGTCGCCGTGAAACCGCTCAACGACATGGCTATGGTGTGTCTTTGGGTACGTTTATGCTCAACTATTTCTGACCAGAATGAGGCATTTGTTACGCGTTTAGTTCAAAACACGGTTGCGTCCTTTCTCATTTTGTAGAATCACCGAAAAACGGCGATCATAATCGCCGATCGCAAACTCACAAAAAGGTGCGTTTTTGATCGGCGATTCTGGGGAAGCATAAACGCACAATCATTTGTAAACGCGTTTAAATGAGGTCAATGTAGCATGCGCAGTGCAGGTTTGCGAATTCAGCTGCAGAGCCAAAATCATGCCTGGAGGAGCCAGAGAAGTGAGCATAAACAGTACACCGTGGAACTGCGATTACGATGAGCGTTTCAAATCGCTCATTCTGCCTTCAAAATTGAGCATAAACGCATCGAACCTAGAAATGAACAAAGTTATAACTCCGGGTTATAATCCCACGGCAACCCATACGGCCTATAAAGATAGGGATACGCCCTCGTGTTACCCTGAGGGCACCGCAGATCTTCCGCGGCCGCCACATGTATCTCTCGATTTCGGGGGCCTACGATACTAATTAGTTGTTTTTTTTTTTTGTTTTTTTTTTCCTTTAATGCATCTACCAGGCGTAGGAATGAATCAAATAATGCACACATACCAGGTTGTGAAGTAACCGAATTTTAATCAAACATCAAAACACAATAATTGTTCTAATAATAATAATAATAATATTTAATTTTTATATAGCGCTTATTACAAATGTTTCTAAGCGCTTTACAAATATACTATCTCTTGTGGTTCCCTATAACATAGAATCCTATAAGAGTAAAGAAAATGAAAGTTGCCGTTCATACTTTTTAATCTTTTCTCCATTTAAAGCAGATCTATTTCTTTGATTGTAAGTGTGTCGTTTTTGCTTAATGATAGTATACAAAATGAAAAAAGAATGTAACAAGACAATAGTATATTTGTAAAGCGCTCAGAGACATTTTTATGAAGCGCTATATAAAAATTAAATATTATTATTATTATTATTATTATTTAACAAAATTATTATTTATATCATATATATCACATTATTATATGAATGGAAGAAAGAAAGAATCAGCATTATGCTAAAACGCAAACTAAAAGTAGGTCTTCGCAAGTGATTAAATATGATTCTACATGAACGATCATTGTATGTATCAGTGGCTTAGCGAGGGCTAAACTATTGAGAGGGGTGGGTGGGGGCACTGACGTCATGGGCACTGACGTCATGGGCAAGGGCATCGGAAATATTTGGTCAGATGGTGGACTAAAGAAAAAGGGAGAGAATGCCACCGCAGAGTGTGGAAAGGGCGAATCAACCAATTACTAAACCATCATAATTGTATGTGCTGTTTATTCTTGACTATAATTATACCTTAATTTGTCATCGTTCTACAATTGCGAAATTACGAAGTTAAAATTCTGTTAAACCCCTTGCATGTATTACTATTATATATTATGTATTATTATATCAAAAATATTATTATAAATAGTAGAAGTAGAAGTAGTAGTAGTAATAGTAGTAGTAGTAGTAGTAGTAGTATTGTAATACAAAATTTCTTTAATATTATCTCCTCCTTTTCACATTGCATTTTCCATTCTCCCTTTCTTTCTCCCCTCCCCCCCCCCCCCCCCCCCCCCCATTCGACTGAGGGGCCCTTGAATCCCTATCCCACATACGTGACCACGCCACTGAGTACCATCCAGTAATATCTTGTATATTTACTAAAGCTGTCAAACGTATCTTGTGCTAGACTGTGCTATATATTAGTTCAATAAGGGCGAATCCTGAATGTTGTTAACAGAGCGATTGAAGCGCCATACGCATGTTCAGGGAGTTGATTGGAAAACGGGGGAGGTGCGAGCTAAACCTTAGGTACCTAAATTATGGGATATGAACAAAATATAGAGGGGATGATTGTGCTCCTTCTACCCCCACCCGCCTCTGTATCAGTCACTGTTATCAACGCAAACACTGAGACAGAGATTCGTTCTAAAAGCAGATGCAATCTCAATGATTACGTAACACGGGCGGACAGAGCTGTTATAAAACGTCGATGTTTACTACGGCAGTACAAAGGGCAATTAGCTATAAAGTATATAATAATTGGTCTAGAGTGGTATTATTCAACAGATAAAATTCTATAATGGCTACTTTGTTAATTTTGAAGGCCTATATCTAACCTTAAACCAGTTATGAGCAGATGAAGTATTAATTAGATTAGTCTTGAACCCTGTCCCTAAACAATTTTGTCATCAAACCCTTGGGATCTGGTTTATTAAATGAAGGGAGAGCTTCCGAACAGACCCCTAAATCGGCTGTTCACATCGTTTAGCAAATACACATGTTTTGTCAAAGGAAAGTGGTATGAATGCACATTACAAAACGCAAAAACGGACTAAAATATGAATCGGAATAGATAGGCTTGCCAAACGCCCCCAAGATTGGTAACAATGATTGCTTTGCACATTGACCATGTCTGAAGGAAGAAGTATGATGTACATCATAACAGATAAACGAGCTTTAACAAATTTCAATTCGGAAAGACCCCTTGAGTGAAGCCCCAAATTACCCTCTGACTAAACCATGAAAGCAAGGTATAACATAGATTCATGCGTTTTACGGCAAGTGTTTTGCTTTGTTTAGTTTAAGGTCTGTTTAAACAAAGTGAGATAGAATCATGAAGAGTTTTCTCGCAATACAGTATTAATATTATTTAACTATTTAAACGAAAATAATAGCATGGGAGGGGACAATCCCTTAAAAATACCTCAACGATGATAATAAATTCAACATCCAGGTGGGAAATGTGAAATGTAAGCCGAATAAATATTTGTCGATATTTTCTTGGGTTTCACCTGAAAAATTTAAATAATCTTTCTTACGCAGTTCTCCGACCGCTCGAAGTAACCAGTTGAAGTCATCATCTTATCCAGGAGGGAAACATATCTCATTGAGTATGATGACGTCATTAATCATTAATAGCTCGTGTTATATAGTAGATAGTTCTGATATAATTAACTGTATCACTACTTGGTTCATGTTATGTATTATGTTATCTTAATATCTCGTCTAGTTCCCTGTGCTTTATCTTAATCGTTTCTTGTAGATTGTTTACATGGCTGTAGAAATAAATATATCAACGGCTAAATAAAAGGGGACGCCCATCTTATTTAATTGCAATTCATTTCGCTATCATCAGTTGTTACAGGGAACATAACATTGTATCTAAACGACATAGATAACTTGGTCATACAAACAGGCGCGGATCCAGGATTTCTTAGGGGGGGGGCCCAAATTTGAAAATTTAGTGTGCTGAAATTTGAAAATCGTGCAGGCCAATATTTCGCTCAGTTGGGGGGGGGCTGAGGTAGTGAGCAATAATTTTCTTTGGCCCTCAAAAATTTTGAAAAATCACCCCCGCCCCCCCCCCCCCGTTGAGCGCCAGGGGGGGGGGCATCTATATAAAAAAAAAATGAACGTGTTTTTACACGTGTTTTCCCAGTGGCCGGGCCCCCTGGCTCCCCCCCCCCCCCCCCTCCCCTGGATCATACAAATACTATAGAGTGGCACCGGTAGCTGCTGCCATTTTTATAAGGGCCTATTATCAATTAAACATGTTTTTTGTTTGGATAGTGACATATCTTTTATAATTGTTTTAATTTTCAGCTCTTGAGTTGCATGGTCTATGCATCTTGTATAGCAATAAACCAATATAATTGGCGGATCCGGGGGCACCGGGGCACGTTCCCCCCCCCCACCCCCACCCCCTGAGAAACTCGATTCTCGGCTCAGCCATGGGATGTTATAATATAGGTAATTCTAAAGTATAATTAATTTCAATTAATTACTTCAAAAAGACGACATTGTCTTTTACCACATTTCATTGAATATTCAATATTGCATTTTTAATATTGATATGAAACTTTCGTTGATATTTTACCTGAATACATTGTTCTGAGAAACTAAATGATGTGTGATGACACCTGGCATGGTGAGTGATGGAAACCCAACAGGTGGGACTATAAGATAAGCCGTTGATTGAGTCATTAGTGTAACGGATCATAACTATAAATAAACGACGCAATATTTGTATTAAAAGCAAATTATTTTACAGTAAACAAACCATTTATGAATGCTTTCAGTAAAGTCTAGTGTTTTTACACAAATCTAACGCTGATCTAATATCATGGTTAGACTTTTGGTTTGAGGGGCTCTGGCAACCTCGAGGTGAATGAGATAGATAGCTTGAAGTTAACCCGACTTGGTTGCCTTATTATGGGGCTCTACAGTGCGTATAAACAAAAAGTGTACATAACATTGATAGTTTTTAATTAATAGATGATGTGGCCTTTGAATCAAATTTCATGATTAAGGGTAACTAATACCCTGTATCATGATATCATTTATTGTGCTACCACGGATGACTGAGCAGCGGGCTTAACCGGCGGCTCACAACCTAGCTGGCATGGGTTGGATGCGGGGCATACTACATTAGAACTTATGGATGAGTGATAAATGCGTTTTTTTTTTTATTACAATGAAAGTGAGGAGGTTTTTCATAGCCTTATAATCATTTTAATCATTTCATAGGAATACTACAATGCTATTCACATTAACAAAAGTTTGAAAATATCTGTTTATGTTAATAGAGGCTACTTTATTTTATTCCAAACTCCAAAGCTTTCAATCTTAATCTTGGCTGTCTTCTTTTGGATAAACACTCATACAAATAAAGAGAATGAGTTAGGTAATTTTGTAATGCATGTTTTATGTTGAAAGGATATACGATTCACCATATATTAGGCCAAGCACCGATTTTTGATTTTGTTTTTTGTTTATATAAATAGAAATCATAGTTATACTTGAAGTCAGTGTTACATCAGGGCATTCTAAAAACCTTGTAAGTGTCAGGTATAGAAATGTATGCTTGTAAAATGTAAGTGTGCTTAAAATATTGCTGATATCGCAGTAAGCAGTTTTTACACCTTGTTTAGAAAAGGAAAAGAGCTGTGGGCTTATATTGTAAATGCTTTGGGGCCACTTTATTTATCTTATTTAATTTAAATCATTTAAACATATTTGTGGCTTACACCCAGTAAATAAGATCGATTGATCGATCTGTATTGAAAAACAAGTCAGAAAAAATCTTGGAACCAGTGGGACTTGAACCTGCATCTACTGCTTGCCGGGCAGCGACTCTACCACCAGGCCATCACTGGTCCATGGCACAGTCACAATGAACTAGAAACAAATACTCAAGCTCTCCTGATTCATTCTGACTTATTAATATTCATTAGTCCGCCATAGGACAATAACTTTTATAAATGTAATGCTTCCTGGGAGAAATTTCAATTATTTAAACATATTTGTGGCTTATTTATTTATCTTATCTACATGTATTTTTTTCTTATAATAAAAGGGTGAAACATCCTACGTCCCCTTAAACAAGGGAAAAGTTCTATGAAGAGTAAATACAACAAAAAACAGATGAGTTTCAAACTTGCTTATGAGGAAAGTATTTTTAAATTAAGTCAGTTTTGCTTGAATCATTTTATACTCAACACCAAATTTTGAGTACCAAACATGTTTGGTGTGTTTGTCTCTTAAAGCATTTATCAAAAACCTATCAAAACCTTTTATAGGGGAGACCCACAACCAGCAGTTCTTCTGTTAAGAACTGTCTTACAATTTCTCAGAGTTAACATGGAGAATATTCAACTCTGACCAGTATTTATTATTGGTGTGGTTAACCAGTGCACGGCTACGCCTTTAAACGGCCATGTCCTAGACCACTAATAATTAACAGGTACTAAGAGTTTTGATACAGATCTGCATGTATTAAAGTTATTGTGAGAAGGTTTAACTTTTCTCATGTCAGTATTTAAAAGAGTGTAATACTACAAATTGTAAAGCGGGCATCAGAAGGCGTCGAAGGTGAGGTAGCTATGATACTGCAGTTGAATGTTGAGGTCCCATAGTCATTGACATATAATTTTGACATCTTACACTGTAGATATTGTTAATACCTCTATATATACTATGTAGTTTGAACGTTGCACGAGTCATTTGTTAAAAGAACAATCCTATACTGCCGTGCCACTGTGTTTTATTTGTAGTACATAGTCATTTACCAAAGGCAAGCACTAACTTTTTGCACTATATGGTATTAAACCTTTAGTCACTGCATGTATTTAGTGCTTGTCTGTGGTCTGTGAAAGAGAGAGAGCAAATCATTTAATTCCTGATTTTTGTGTCTGAGTTGACACGCTGAAGAAACACTTATGTGATAAAGTATCATCCACTTTACATAGATACAATATATGATAAAAACCTTTGTCTCAGCAGCTATTTTGTAAATGGCGGCCATCTTGAAAAATAACAACAACAAATCCAAAAATATCAAATAGTAAGGTCCTTCCTCACTGATTTTTAAACAGTCCGGACGATAAACACGTTATTTTGTTTTACTTGGTCTCATTCTTACAGCTAGGATTCTACGATGATGGAAAATGAATTTTCACTTACATGAGATCCTGACGCTGTCAGGAACAAAATGGCGGCGAGAAATTTCAACATCTTCCCGTTCATGATGAAAACAGGATCCTGGGGAAAACAGAAATGAAAATAATCCCGTCAGAAATCAACTCGATATTAGTTAACGAATAAAAATAAAGATAGTAGTCTTCAGCTGGGGATCTTATATCCTCTTTCCTAACCAACGAAATTAATTGTTTATTAAATCCGGTAAATATATGGATTATCCTGCTGCCCTTAATGGGAAGATTACATCAATCGAATTGCAATTTATTTATTTAAAGAAATTTAAAAAAAGAGAAGATTCTGTTCATTTTATGAGAAGAAAGACGTTTGCTTACACACAACGATCACACCAAGACGATTAATTTGAGACTTCTTGCTTTTATTCCAGTAATTCTTGATCAGGATAAGTTACCGACCATAGAGAATCAATGTCGGTCTGTCAAGTAGCAAGATACTGCTAACTACCTAATGGCGTGATGTTTAATAATATATCTAGGTGGGGCGCGTACAAGAGCCGGATTGTTTCGTCACCATATTAATTAATTAGTCCAAGTTAGCCTCATTAATGATTAACGATCTTTGTAAATATGTAAGAATCTACCAGATAACTTACCGCTAAATTGCTTCGATAAACTACTCCAGAATGGGAGGTAAGTATTGACTTAACTGCAGTCCGTTATACAAACGACATTTACAAAGAGATTAATTTCATTCTGGGTCATTGTTGTCAAAAACTGGCGTTTTGTCAGATGTCATAACATTTTCTCTTAGCGTCATATTACACAACATAAGGTTATACAAATTTGCATCAAAACTTTTAAATCTCTTCAAAGCGTTAGATTTACAACCTTTTATCATATATATATTACTTTAGTTTCTTGTCATATTTGTCACATATACATTATTCTGTGCGTTAAACTGAAAATAATTGTAACGTAGTTCAAATAAAATTATAGTACTTCAGCTTCCAATCTTAATTAGTTTCACAAGATTCTATTAGATTGATAAGGATACACATCTATATATCTATATTTTCTTCACTCAAACAGAATAATAATGCTTGCTGGGCCGCGCCCTCATGTCAAAAAGTTTCGATACCGACTAGATTATACTTTGGGTAAATATGACCGTAATATTGTATTTTCCTCTATTTTGTAAACAGTTATATTATTTATATTAAAAGTATAATCAGTTTCAAGAATGAGACGGTGTAAAGGGGAAATGCTTTCTATTTCACTGTTCAGAAGAGCCGACGTGCAAAAATGATGCAATGAGAATTTTAATGATCGTCCCGGATATAACTGTAGAAAATCATTAATGATTGTGATTGTCAGAAATCGTCAATACTATGAGCAAATACGTCAAGAATGTCCGAAGAATATATCAATGAGCCGTGTCCCCTCGCAATGAGTTGAAGCATTTACATGGTATTATTAGTATATTAATCTGTCATTGTGATTTCTGAAGTCGTTGTCCTCTGTACTTCGATAATCACCCATTGAAAGCCTCCTTCAAAACCAAAGATTAAAGATTTGCCTCGATGTCAACTGGTGTCATTTTGTTAACGAGCGACATAAAGGTCGTTTCACCCCGAGCCTGCTTCAAAATTATGTAGACAGATTTAAGCTAGGCTATAGAAACCCGATTCGAAACTAGGTAGGGGTTACTATGTAAAACTATGTATATTTATAGTTGTGAATATGACGAAAAATAATGTTTGTGGTCGAATAGTCAGTCACTTTGTTACTACGTTGTTTATGTGATTGTGCCAGTCGTGATAGCGAAAAACATGATAGCAAATATTTGTTTGTTCTGGGAAATACTTCGGATGGGGAGATGTAAAAAAAAAATTTAAAAAAAAAAATCGTGCAGACATGCAAAGTAGCTTGAACAAAAAATATAAAGTTCCTGTCTCGGAAATATATTTTTTTATCAGGCTTCGTGGATTCTACCTCGAGAACTTTTATATTTATAAAAAGAATGTTTCTATACAGTAGGTATAACAAACCGGAACAATAACAGTACCACTTAAGGTTGCCAAAAATTCTTAATCTATTTTGGTTTCATGATACAGCAATGAAAACGTGATTTTACCACACTCTCTCTCTCTCTCTCTTAGAAGCCTGTTAATATTTGATAGGTGTTACATGTTGATTTTGCTGACATCAACGTATTTACGTTTAATTATTTACTACAATAATAATTAGTACGAGTTGAGCGGTTCAACGTTCAAAATGCATTTTTTTATTATTAATAACTTCTTACGCGGTTCTCCAATAGTTGAAGTCGACTAGTGTCGACGACCCATGATTCAAAGTTCATCATAATACTTATATTTGTATTAATCATGAATTCTAATTCACATTCCAGCTGTGATATCCGTAATAAGTTTACTTTTAAATATTTAGAATTAATGTTTCAGAGTACACACCCAACAACTACGTGAATCTTTAACTTTTAAGGGGAGAAATGTATTATTTTCTTCTTCTTCTTCTTCTTCTTCTTCTTCTTCTTCTTCTTCGTACTGTTATCATCATCTTCAGCCTTATTATTATTATTACTATTACTGTTATTATTAGCATTGTAATCGTTATTATGATTATTTATTATTATTAGTATTGTTATTGCTATTATTATTATTATTATTATTATTATATTATTATATTATCATAATTATTATTAGGCCTATTATTATTACTATCAGTATCATTATTATTAGGTGATCCGTCGCGTAGCGATCCAACGGATCACCTCTTAATTTCGTCAAGTTTTTGTTATCTTCTTTTTTATTTATTTCTTTTTATTCCGTGTAAATTCGTTCGCCAAATATTTTATTAATAGAAAGAGTTCAATCGATGAATTTTATAACATGATGTGTCAATTCAATGCCCAGAACATAACATCGATTTTTTTTTTCTCGAAAAAGTGGTCACGTTACTGTAGAGTTCCTTGAATTCATTCGTAGAGTACTATAAAGGGCCTCCTAATTTTTTTAAACGGGCACCTCTCTGTGCTTTGCCCATACAGGTGAGTTGATCAAACCATGGACCTATTACGAATGGACATTCATCGTTTTCTTAATGAATTCATTGTGATTGTCTCCGTCAATGTCGTCTCAATAACATTCCCTACATGTTTCGTCACTTTGATCTCACCATGGTCGCCGCTAAAAAGCCGGGACAGAATCAAGATAGTGATTTTACACATGTTAATCTACATGCGCAGAAGATAATAACTCGCCTAAATCATGGAAAATCGATGTGCAGTTCTGGCTTATAATCGTAAATTGTTGTTCCGTGTACTGTACATGTATTTTATTTTGAAAAACATGTTGATATTACCAGATAGAGGTTATTTGGGGTTGTGATTTAAAATCCCGTTTCCCCCAATACCTCATAATATTCCAGAGTTACAAAGCACAGGGCTTATAAAGATCATGGCCTTCTAACTGTTTTATAAGGTCATGGGTGTGAGCGAAAGTGTGCGAATCAGTAATAATATATTTCATATCACAAACATCGTCTGCTTTTCAACTTTGCTGCTCCCCATTGGGGATGCTTTCATTTAAGACATACTCTTACAGAGCACACCATCCAAACAAAACCCAAGAGAGGGAAACTGCTCATTTGTCAATGACCGAAAATTCTTACGCAGTCGTTATTGTTAAAACAGCTGAATGTTCCATTAAGATGCACATAATCAGAAGGCGGCGACTATCATTGGATCAGAGAAAGAATCACGATGAATGTCCATTTCGTAATAGGTCCATGATCAAACTTCAACCACTTTTGTTTATTTAATATTAATATTGTTATGCTAAATATTTGTTATGTACATATGTGTATTGTGTTAGAACGATTTCAATGATTATTTTGATGTATCGTGTGGGTTGATATAATTATATCGAAAGCGATGATTTAATGTTAAATGTAGAAGTGATGCTTACCGTTATGATTTGTAATATGCCGTTACATTATAGTACATGGTCATCGATCATGTACACTGAGTTTAATGCGGTATCAAAATTTGGTGTAGTGTGTGCGCACTAATGTTGGACCTGGACCCAGCTAGGGCCGGTATCAGCGTTACGCTCTATTTATGTAATGTGTATAGGTCTTGGTTAATAGAAAAGAAGTGCTTATGATAGAAGTTTAGTGTTTAAATGCATTGCATGTTGTTTGTATTCTGGTTGCTAAGGGAATAATAATTATGACACATCAAACAGTGATGATCAAACTTTGTCTGACTATTTTTTTTATTTTTTTTGAATGATATTTTATTTCCTTCCTCATAAATTCACATTACAAGAAATTTTCACAATAAGTCATATAAAACAAGATCTTCGATACAAAACACTTCATGAATTACATCAATCAATGAACAATAAACATAGGAAAATCTCAAATTATACATGATTGTATATACATTTTTCTTTCATATAACAATTTATAATCGAAACAACAATAGAGGAAGGTATAAAGTTATTTTTTATATTTGTTTTACTGACATTTTATTTCCTTCCTCATAAATTCACATTACAAGAAATTATCACCATAAGTCATATAAAACAAGATCTTCGATACAAGGCACTTCATGAATTACATCAATCAATGAACAATGAACATAGGAAAATCTCAAATTATACATGATTGTACATATCAAAATAACAATAGAGGAAGGTATAAAGTTTACATAGTCCCACCCAATCACACCCCCGCACACCCTCAACTCGTCCCGAACAAATTCATAACACCCCCACCACCCCCTCTAGCACACCCACACTTCACACCCTTTCACACCAAACACACACACTGCATGCAACCTGTTCCGGCTTATCCACCTGTACCCGATAACCCAAAAAACATCCATTAAAGTAAAAATGCATCGATTTGTTCCCATTTCTGTAAGTGCGTCCCTAGTTTTCCCTTTTTGAAGGCTTTTTTATATTCCTCGTCTCTGTAATCTTTCAGCATATGTATTACTTTCTGCACGGATGGCAGAGTTCCCTTTTTTCTGGAAATAAAAATGATATACTTTACTATTTAGCCATTAGAGGGTTTCTAGCGCCCTCTATCATTGTAAATCTTATTTCTCATTTTGCATAAAAGAATGTTGTAACATGTTAAATTGATATGGAATAACAGGAGTAAGAGCAGTGTTTAGGGTTAGATCAGGAGATTATTGGAGTTTGTTTGGAAGTAAGAAAGTATAGAAGATGAATATTTGGTTTGGAGTGGTTGATGAAAGTTGGATTTGATGCAGATTATAAAGAGATTTATAGTTTCCAGGATTTTTCAATGTTTCTGGTCTTGAGATATTCTGATATTTAAAAGCAGAGATATTTGTCTTTATTCCATTGTTATGATATTGTTAGTTTCATTATTCATTATATAATATGTGCTTACTATGAAAAGGGGGAACCAGGATAGCCCTATTTAAGTTCATGTTCTCA